ATTACGAATTTAAAATATTAATTTTACAGTAGCTTGAATTATCCCTCCCCAATTTTGTTGCACTGCCTCATATGAACAAAATGTTCCTCACAGAAATGAGTAAAGCAAGTCAGGGGTATATGCCAAGAGTGTTTGTCCCAGCGGGGTTACTCAAGATGTGAATGTTACATTAAAAAACGGATAGAATCAAGATAATGTGATGTGTTAATACCACTTTATAATGCCTTGGTAAGACCACACTTGGAATATTGCACCCAGTTTTGGTTGCCATGATGTAAAACAAGATGTTGAGACTCTAGAAAGAGTGCAAAGAGCCACAAAGATGATCAGGGGACTGGACGCTAAAACATACAAAGAATAGTTGCAGGAATTGGGTATGTCTAGTTTAATGAAGAGAAGGACTAGGGGATGACATGATAGCAGTGTTCCAATAACTAAAGGGTTGCCACAAGGAAGAGGGGCTCAACCTATTCTTCAAAGCACTTGAAGGCAGGACAAGAAGCAATGGATGGAAACTAATCAAGGACAAAAGCAACCTAGAACTAAGGAAAAATTTCCTGACGGAATAATCAGTGGAACAGCTTGCCTTCAGAAATTATGTGTGCTCCATCACTGAAGGTTTTTAATAAGAGATTGGATAACTATTTGTCTGAAATGGTATAGTGTTTCCTGCTTGAGCAGGGGATTTGACTAGAAGAACCTTTCAAATCTGTTATTCTGTTATTGTTATTCAGTTAGCTTTGTCATCAAACCTGGGAGCCTCAAAGAACAGATGAGATCTTCAAAAATACTTGTTCAACCCCCGGCTGGGGGTACATTTTATAGCTCCTGCAATGCAGAAAAAAGGAGGTGTAGTTATATATGTAAGAAAAGAGCTTTCACCAAAATTAATTGACTCGGACTTACAAGGCAGATACGTTATTATTGATCTTTTAATAAATGATAACAGAACTCTTCTTGTTGGATTATATGCTCCCAATCAACAACAAAAACATTTTTACAAGATGATTCATCAGAAACTCATTTCTTTGGATTATAAATCAGTTATTATGATGGGAGATTGGAATGGTGTTTTGGATCCAAGCAAAGACAAGAAGGGTTCTTTTAAAGTGTGCAACCAGGCGAGACTTCCTAAAGCTTTTTTTGATTTAAAGGATGATTTGGAACTCAGAGATATTTGGAGAGAACGTAATCCTCAGGAAAAAGATTTTACCTTTTTTTCAGGCAGGCATCAATCTTATTCTAGAATTGATTTTTTTTCTAGTTACTAATGACTTTTCTTTCAGAGTGAAGAATACTAAGATATTTCCTAGAATTTTTTCAGATCATAGTCCTGTATGGTTGGAAATTTCTTTGGATAAAGGGTCTAGAAGGTCTTGGAGGTTAAATGAGAATTTATTTAGATATGAAGAGAATATACAGAAATGTAGAGGTTATTTAAAAGAATTTTTCCTTGGAATATGAATAAGGGCACCTCGATGCCAATGGTTTGGGATTCCAGTAAAGCATACATGCGAGGGATTTTGATCTCTATGAACAATGCTCATAGATGTAAACAAACCGAGAAGCATAAAGAGTTGGAAGATGAGATTAAATGTAAGGAAAAGATTTTATTATCAAATCCAATGGATAATAATTTGAAAGCTTCTATAACTCTGCTTAAGGAACAATTTAATATGTTAATAGTGAATCAGATGGCAATTAATTTGAGGTATATGAAGTATAATACATATACTTAGGTATCAATAAATTTATATGGGGTGACAAGAAATCAAGGGTTAAGTTTAAGTTTTTACAAGATGCTAGAGAAAGGGGTGGACTTAAAGCATCTAATCTGAAATTATATTATGATGCGACCACCTTAACTTTAGTAAGTGATTGGCTCCATTTAACAAATAAAAATATTTTGGTTCTTGAAGGCTAGGATTTATTATTTGGTTGGCACGCATATTTAGTTTTTGATAAGAAAGTAGATTGGGTGTTTAAGTCACATATTTTAAGAAATGCCATACTTCGAGTCTGGAAGAAGTATTATTACAAATTAAACTATAAAATACCCATTTGGGAGATTCCTGGACAGGCAATTCAAGGGGTTTTTAAGGGGGTGAATTTTGATAATATTTCGCATAAAGAGTTGCTCATTTGGTCAGGTACAGATTGGCAATTAAAGTCTTTTGATTTGTTAAGGCAAGAAAATATTTTACAATCATGGTTTCAATATTTACAAATAATGGAGAGATGGAGGGTAGATAAGAAGGTGGGAATTACTTTAACAGATGAAAACTTGGTAATTCAGATTAAAGATCAGAAATTTGCTCATATCAAAAGAATTTATAATGAGTTGATAAAATTGGATTCAGAAACAGAGTTAGTAAAAGATTGTATGATCAAATGGGCCCAGAATATACAGGAACCAATCTTAATGGATTCTTGGGAGATAATCTGGGTTAGAAATGTTAAATTTACTCAAGCACAAAATTTGAGGGAAAATTTTTTATAAAATGTTTTATAGATGGCATTTGGATCCTAAAAAGTTATCTTGTATGTATCCGAATTTGCAACCCAAATGTTGGAGATGTGGTTCCTTGGATGCAACTTATTTTCATGTTTGGTGGACTTGCAAAAATATTAAAGCTTTTTGGATTATGATTTGGTGGAACATTCAAAAGGTTTTTAAAAGGAAAATTAAATTTACTCCCCAATTATTTCTTTTGGGTATTTTGGGGGATTTTGATGTTAAAGAAACTATTTTAATGCTGAATTTAATAACAGCAGCAAGACTATTGGTGGGTCATTATTGGAAAAAAAATTCTCTGCCTTCTTTAGAAGAATGGGTATTCAAGGTTTCTAATTTAGCAGAAATGGCTAAAATTTCTGCTTATTTAAAGGACCATTCACAAAAGAGATATGTTTCTGTATGGAGAAGATGGATAGAATATATTCAGAAGAAGTATGGAACAACAAAGTTTCATTTATTTTATGAATAATGGATTTTTATTAAATTATGAATTGAAATTTGCAGAGAGTTAAGGGTTATGATTTTGGTTATTGTATAAGTAGTAAATTTAAGTTGATTATGTTTAGGGGTTTTTTTGGTTTTTTTTTGTGTGTGTGTGTGTGTGTGTAACCCTGTACTGAGCTCTGGGAAGCCGGGGGGGGGGGGGAGAAGGGGGTGGGGGGAAGGGAGAGTATGGGTAGTATGTTTAATAGTTCAGATAAGTAGGAATAGTTTTATATTTTTAAGATTATTTTTTCTTTTTTTGGTGATAGAGGATTGCTCGGGCATTTTCCCCTAGACCGCATCCGATTGAGAAGAAGAGGAGAGGGATAAGCAAGTAGAAAGATGGAGGAGAGAGGGAGGAGAGGAGGAGAGTGAGGAAGAAGGAAGGGGGAAGTGAAGAGATGAGAGGGGGATGCGGTTTGGGGGGAAATGGGTGAGCAATGCCGGAATTTGTGTGTTGTATTTTAACTTATTATGTATCTGAATTTTTTTTCTTATGATTGTAATGAAAATAAAATAATATTTTTTTAAAAAAAAAAGAACAGATGAGATCTTAAGATGGCTCCATTGCTGATTAAATCATTTGGGTGTGTTTGTGTGTCTCTCTGTGGGTATTTATATGACTATGTTTGACATGTTTATTGTCAAATTTTGATCACATGACCATGGAGATGATGCAACCATAGTAAATGTGAAAAACTGTCATAACTCATTTTTTTCAGTGTGAATTCCAAGTTAAGCTAAACAAGAACAAAGTAAACCAGTGTCCACAATATGATTTGGTAATATATCTATCATTTTCAAATATATTCATCATTTTCAAATATATCTATCATTTTCAAAGAGAATTGTTTTGAAATCCTGAACTCCACCGACTGGGAACAAGTGAAACCATGGAATTAACTTAAATACATTGTTAAGTGGGGATGGGAAGATAGATCACCAAAATCAAGAAACAGAAGAAAGCAAACAGGCTGGAAATTGCCAAGAACAAAAAAGAGAAACCAATAATCTGTGCTGTATTGCTCTAATTTGCAAAAAAAAAAAAAAGTCAAAGAGCACAGTGAAAAAATGGAACTAAAATTAAATATAAAGAAATAATGACAATAGGTACAGCAACCAACCTTAGAATAAACTGTAAAGATATTGAAGTGGTAGATAGTTAAGGCAGAAAGTATCAATAATAAAGGAACATTCAGTCAGTAAGTATATACCACAGACTAGCGCTTGGTAGAGTTGTCAGAAAGCCTTGGAAAGGATATTCAAGATGTTGGGAAGTCTATATCGAAAAGAGCAACAGCAAAGTGGATGTACATTAACAATGAGTACACCAGTGGAAGAATCAAAAAAACCAAACTGAAGACATCCTCCTAGAGAAAATCTATCTGTGTGGTCACTAAGAATCAACTCTAACTTGATGGCACATGATTATTTTCAATTATTGACAGTCCCACTATGCAGACTAGACCATGAAATAAACTCCCAGGAAGGCTAAAACTATTTTTATTGAGATCAGCTATAACAGCAGTATCTTGCAAGTCTAATTACACTGAACCACAACCCCTTTCTTATAGTTCAGTAAATTGGATAATTGACTGCCTATGCCACTTCTGAATATTATCTGGACATTCTGGACTTAAAAAGAAAATGCCTTAGCTACCTTTGCCTAGGCAATAGCACCTGCATATCTCTATCAAGATCATCTTCCTTATCTCTATAATTATCTTGAATTATGTCCATAAATTTACAGCAAGCTCTAACTATGTTGGTTTAATGCATTTCTGTCGAGCAATAGTATTCATGAGATAGGTCACATTCTGCACAATCTGTACCTATCAAAGTTCATAAAAACCTTTAAAATATATTCATTCAAGTTATAGTGAAGCCATTGTTGTGTTCCGCCTGGTTTTATGAGTTGAGCAAGTGAAGAAAAACTAGAAGTATATTGGACCATGGCTACACAACTCCAACCGATAAAACAAAGATTCCTCAAAACACAAAAAATAGTACACTTTATTCCCAAAAGATTTTGATTTCTTATAGCTTGATCTTTGTACATACAGTTTTGATTTCTTCTATACAACATAAATTAAGGCTTTATAAAGAATGAGCAAAACAAACAGCCACACATATGTGACAAGGAAGAAGGATGACTGCTAAGAAGTACCCAGAGTCTCAAAGAATATGTCTGGGGCTAGATTAACCAAATTATTTCTCAGAAGTGGGCATGTCTCAAAGTTTTCTTCCTATTCTTCTGAATACTGTAAGAGCATAGTTTTAGTGCTGAAGTATATTCCAAAAAGCAATTCTTAACTGCTGCTATTCAAGAAATAGGGAGGGTTCTGCATATTCTGAAGCCAGATTCTGAAACTGCAAAGCAACTAAATCAGATTCTTTTCTTTGTGCTAGGGACTTGCTTGTGTCACTCTTATATGTATATTGTGCTCCTGATATTCTCCAGTATAATTTTCCCTAACTGTTGCTTTCCATATAAACGGACTGCATAATTGATCGAGGTGACTGAATTCTGGGAGAAGAATCCTAACATATGTAAAGGATGCTGTGGAGGAGAAAGGCTGATTCCATCCAGGGACTGATCCACATTTCTTCCCTGCCCAGTACAAAGATGGGCTGCGTATAATTGTTTGTGTGTTTCTGTAGAGGAATGGAAAGCATCATCCTCAGTTCACTTTAGGCTTCTGGGAAGGGAACCACCTTCTGATTTAAAAATGGTATTTCACGCTTTCCTCTGGTACAAGCAGGACAGTCTGGTCCACCAATTGCACTTTATTCCATCCTAAACAAATTTCTGTTCCAGTTGCTGTGGCAAATATGTCCCCCTCTCCACTCTTGTAGTGTCTCAGATGCCATTTTATATAGGCGTGCATGCCATGACAGGATGGAGCTTGATCTTTTATACAGCATCCCAGTAGTACAATAGTAAATGCCAGTCATTTCTCTTTTTCTACTTCAACATATTCAGCAGTTTTCCCTTCTAGCCCAAGAGACAGGAATTGTGGCAATGCATGCTCAGCCATAGGAGGGCGAAATGCTTGATACTTCTTGGTTTTCTTTTGTTTTAACTAGGTGAAACTGACAAGAGTTCTGCCAAGTTTTCCTTTTTACATCAAGTGATACGAAGAACTGCAATCTTTTTGCTTTTTTTCTCTCAGTCCTCATAACAGAATGGAATGTAACTAGCACCCACTTTCACGGCATAAGTGGAAAGTAAAAGCAGAAGAGGAATTATCATAGGCCATGTTAATCACAGTCCAAGTAGAATATCTGAACCATTACTAAGACCAAAATAAAGAAATCGATTGAAATCCAGAAACAGATTTCTTAAACGGCTTCATTTTCAGGCTGTTTATTTTGGGAGACAAGCAGGTGAAGGCTGCAGAAAAGCTCTCAGTCTGAACCACGTGAGTACCAAACTGCAAGTAAATCTCACCAGATTCCAAAAAGCATTGTTCTGAAATTACTTACATTGGGTGGGCTGTTGACTTTGGCCAAATAAAAATAAAAAGGACATTTCCTAGGCCCTTGATAAAGTATCTGACTCCACATGGAGAATCAACAGGGTCAAATGTCTGCCTATTCTTTCTGTTTCAAAGATGGACATTGTTCATACTCTGTTAAAGTCATGATAAAATTTCACCAGTTTTTTGATATTATCTTCCTATATATCTACTGAGCTCCATTCTTCTTGGACAGATCTACCTTACATGCTGCAAGGGAATAAAGACTCGGAAAATGTTCCCCATTAAAAGCAGCATTTTTTGGGATAGAGGAAAGCCACAAACTTGTTTCATCCAAAGGTCAGTTTAACCACACAACAGAGAAACAGCCCAGTACTTCAGCATTCTGCACTTCAAAGAAAAATCCCCTTTTACTTAGGACATTTTTGCTCACTCTCAGGCAACATAACTTAATAGTCTAAAACCTTTCACTATTGTAAACATGTGACAACATTTTACTGGACAAGAGCCATTAGCTATATACTATACAAGAGATCTGCAGAGAAGAATGTAACTAATCATGAGATTGCTATAAGTCTGTATCATAGAAAACCATGATTTAACCATTATTACATAAATAATATTTGGCTGAGTATATTCATTACAACAAGCCAATAACCATGGTCTAAAAACCACAGTAACAGGATTCACAGAATACGAACTGCATTTTGGCTTAGGTCAATGTGTGAACCTATACTTTCTGTCATATTTGATTAATGTGTTAAGTGAATCCAATATTTAGGTAATAAATCTTAAGCAGATTATATCAAATGCTAGGCATTTACAGGAGTGGCTAATAAGAAAATTCAGTATTTATTGAAAGCAGTTGACAGACTTAACATTAGATGAGGAAGCATATTGTTGATGATATTCAGCTGTGGGAAAAGAGCAGAATGATGCTTCAAAGGAAGAATAATTTGTTATTCCAGTTTTTACTGCAAAATATACTGCATGAAAGTTATCATCTGTCTCTTTACATCAATTCTGCAGCAAATTAGCCTATTTCAATGTCAACATCTTGACTTTGAAAAATATTCATACTCCATTTGGGAACAAACAGTCTTCTCCTGACAAGTAAACAATAGCTTAGCATGAGGTATATCCTCTGTCATATATGAGATGGACTTGTAATTAGACAGTGTGTACATTCACAACAATTAAGACTAACATAGCAAACAGATTTCTTGTTTTGCTTTCAAAAGTGAGAAAAGCTTTACACTGCAGTAATATGTCCAAACAATAGTTAACCATGAATGATCAAGCCAATGGAATATCTGATGCTATTGTGATATAGTCAATGAGAGATTATAACCTCCAACCAGCCTTAAGAAAGGCTTTCTTGTGCAAAGAATCTATTCAAGGAAATATTGGCATAGCCACTTTGCTGGATTCCTGGCTCTTTCTTGGTTTCTTCCTCTTTTTAAAAGGTACCAGCTGAATCCTTGGGATTGCTTTGAGCTGAAGCCTTGAGATTGCTTTGAGCATATTTTTAATAACACAAAAATATTTTCCAGCCATGCAGTATAAATAAGGATATCGTTTCTCCTGTTATTTGTGCTTTATAGATCATCTCTGTAAACAGAAGTTCATTTTTTGCTCAGTAATACTCCAAGCAGACCAAGCAGAACTGAGATTGAGGATGCTGTTCATATTTGGTGCTCATTTTTCCGGTCATCTGAAGTTCTTTAAGTGGGACCTGAAGAATCTAATAGAATACCACAGCGACACAGCCACATCATTATGGCTTGCCAGTATCGTAAAATAAAGCTTAGCGATTCTGCATTTGGCTTCTCACTTCTTTTGTAGAAACTTCATTTTATTACCTAAAATACAACAGGAGATTAAAAGAAAGGTTGATATGTTAACCATGTGGAAGACAACTGCAAATAAAATAAAAAGAACAGGTTTGTCTGTTTGAGTCAAAATTCGACGTGACTAATTTTGACCAGTGGAATTTTAGGCTTCAATTTTTCAGAATAGAAAAATTTATCTCAGGGAATAGTAGAGGGAATACAATATTTTAAAAGTATCTCCCAACACACTCAAAATTCAAATACAGTTTTTGAGGATCTCCAGAGTCCCTCTATAAATGAGATGCAGGAAGAGCTACACAGGCTTTTAATAGCAATACCCCAATCATACAACAGAAGAGAAGAGAATATACAAAGTTTTCTACAAGAAATTTGCCTGATGGAATCCAAATGGTTTTCAGCTCCTAAAATCTTAAGCTTCTTTAGCACACAACTGCAGTGTTCTATTTTGAGAGATAGTGAGCAAGGGATGATGATTGTAATTTACAATTTACATTTCAATATACCCAAAACAGTTCTTTCAGCCTTGGTTTTAGCATTCTAAATACTGTGCATTCATGCATGCAATTTTTAGAATTAAGTTAACTGGAGCAAGTTCAGACAAATTACCTACTTAACAACCAACACTGCTGCCTCGATTATAGTCAAATAGGGCAAAAAAAAAAAAAAACCACCCAAGACAGAGATAGAAAGATGGTTGGAGAAATGCCAAAGACTTGCAGAAGTAGAAGACAAGAGAAACAAGAAGGAGGGAGTGAAGCTACCCTGCTTGAGCCAAATCTCACCATGTACAGTGCTTAGAAATGAATATGAATATTCATTTGAATATGAATATGACTGCATCAGACTTTGCTACAGTATTAGCTGCTTTAAGTTCCATTTGTTTAGATCCCAGTGTTAACTTCTAGTGCAATGGTCTACATTGTCACTAGGCAAAAATATGCAACTATGAGTTCAGGTAACTGAATATGTAACTGTTAACTGAATAACTTAACAGAAGCAGTTAACTTGAAGGTTCACTGATCCATTTACATCCCATTGCAAAATTTCTTAATACTGTAAGTGGCAAAAAAGCACTGGGGAACATAAGATTACAAAATCAAAGAAAAGATTAATATATTGTGCTAAGCCATAACAAGGATTACAAATTTTGGGTGGGCATGCCATGCCCAGCGACCTCCCGAGGAAAAGTAGATTTTAAGGGTGGGCAAATAAATAAATAAATATCATTATCAATATTAATAATAATAATGATGATGATGATGATGTTGGGAGGGACCTTGGAGGTCATCTAGTCCAACCCTCTGACCAGGCAGGAAACCCTATACCACAGGTCGGCAACCTGTGGCTCCAGAGCCGCATGTGGCTCTTTGAGACTTCCCCTGTGGCTCCCAGCCTCCTCTGCCATTTGCAGAGAGAGAGAGAGACAGAGACAGAGAGAGGCACTTGAGCTTCCCTGCTTCTCTCTCTGTCTCTCTCTGCGTGTTTGTTTGTTTGTGTGTGTGTGTATAAAAGAGAGTAGACTCACAGTGTTCTCTGATAAGCTGAAAAGCTTTTTGGGTGAGGCTTCCCTCTTTGCTGCGTCTCTGCAGGAAGCAGGAAGGGCAGGAGAGAGCTAGCTAGCCCAGCTATGACTCAGGAATTCTGGGAGTTGAAGTCCATGAGTCATAAAAGTGCCGAGATTGCCTACCTCTGAGCTTATTGGAGAACAGCTTGAAGCCAGCTTGCCAGGTAAGCAGAAGATCGGAGAGAGGAGGAGAGGGGGGAGAGAGAGAGAGAGGGAGAGAGGGAGAGAGAGGAAAGAGGGAGAGAAAGAAAGCAAGTGGGGGAAGAGGACTGGCAGACCAAGGGCAAAAAGAGAGAGAGGGAGAGAGAGACAGAGAGACCCTTTTGACATCTAAAATGAAGATAACACTGCATATATCCTTTTTTACCCTTATGAGATATTATATATACATACATACATACAAACATACATACATACATACATATTAAAAGTAAAAAAGGATATATGCAGTGTTACCTTCATTTTAGATATCAAAAGGGTTTTGCGGCTCCCAGTGTTTTGTTTTCGGTGGGAAACGGGTGCAAGTGGCTCTTTGAGTGTTTTGGGTTGCCTACCCCTGCCCTATACCATTTCAGACAAATGGCTGTCCAGTCTCTTCTTAAAAACATTCACCGCTTCTGGAGCCAGGTTGTTCCACTGATTAATTGTTCTGTCAGGAAGTTTCTCCTTAGTTCTAAGTTGCTTCTCTCTTTGGTTAGTTTTCACCCGTTGCTTCTTGTCCTGCCTTCAGGTGCTTTGGAGAATAGTTTGATTCCCTCTTCTTTGTGGCAACCCTTGAGATATTGGAACATTGCTATCATGCCATCCCTCATCCTTCTCTTTACTAAACTAGACATATCCAATTCCAGCAACCGTTCCGTGTTTTAACCTCCAGTCCCCTAATCATCTTTGTTGCTCTTCTCTGTACTCTTTCTAGAGTCTCAACATCTTTTTTACATCGTGGTGACCAAAACTGGATGCAGTATTCCAAGTGTGGCCTTACCAAGGCATTGTAAAGAGGTATTAACACTTCACGTGATCTTGATTCTATCCCTCTGTTAATACAGCCTAGCACTGTGTTGGCCTTTTTGGCAGCTGCAGCACACTGCTGGCTCATATTTAAGTGATTGTCCACTAGGACTCCGAGTCCCTCTCACAGTTACTACTGTTGAGCAAAGTACCCCCTATACTATACCTGTACATTTGGTTTTTCTTGCCTAAATGTAGAATCTTACTTTTTTCACCACTGAATTTCATTTTGTTAGATAGCACCCAATGTTCAAGTCTATCGAAGCTTAGCTGAAGTGTAAGCTTCAGTTAAAGTGCAAGAAGCAAAAATTCTTCTTCAACTACATTACTGAATTTCTGTTTGGATATTAAGATAAAGATTCTAACTCTCAACTAAACAAAGTTAGAAAGTCACACTATAAAAATCACTCCAGTTGTCAGTACCATTTTAGGAATCAAAGTAACATTATCACAGTCAGAGTGGATCATAGAAACTAGACAAGCCAAGAACAAATCTTAGGGTGACTCACCCAGACTGCGAAGGATTTTGTTCATTCCACTTGGCTCAGTCTCTGGAATGGTCTCCAAGTATTCCAAGGCACGAACCTCAAACAAGCCTTGAAAAAGAAAGCAAAATTTCAATAGATGCCTTTGCTACAGAACACATCCATATTTTTTATTTCTATATTTAAAAGTTGAGCTCTAAAAAAGCAAAAATACACATAGAAAATGAGAAGAGGATGTTTGAAACATAAGGGTAGAAAATCTTCCAATTTGCCAGCATTAAAGTTAGGTGAAATATGCAATGTATAACTCATTATAGAAATATGCATGAGTGCGTGAACACATACACACACATAAATTATACAATTTGCATGAATTAATGAATGGATACAAAGCACTGACCATGTTTGGAGATGGAATTTTACAATTATTTCTCAAAGAAAAACAAGGCTGATTTTTTTTTCCTTTGCTCAACTATGAAAGCAAATGTTGAAGTCAGGACAGACCTCATGAAAGGCACAATTTCTTATGGATTCTCTCTGTCAGATTCCAACTGTTGTAAGTCAGAATAGTAATCTGAAACTCTCCAGATGTTGAACTACAATTCCCATGCAACAGGGCCAAAAGTTGCTTGTTCAGCACCATCTGGAAAGAATTTTAGTTCAGCAATATCTGGATGATCATATTCCCACACTTTTCAAAAGTGGAAGGAAAGAATTGCATCTGTTCATTCAACTTGCAAATGTGTTTCCTTTTTCATTAATAAACTAATGAAAACATTTAAAGATATATACATTTCATTCTGAAAGTGTTTAAATTTTACGCCTTTGCAGTGCAACAGCACATGGCAACACCTGACTAATTTCTAGGAAATCCCAGGGCTGTCAGCTAGACTAGGAAATGGGGGGGGGGAGAATCCCAGAAAGCAATGGTAATCCACTTCCCTCTTATTAGCACAAAAAGAACATGAATGTGTTGATGTAGTCACCAAGAGTCAAGCTGAAGTTAAGTATGACTTTATCTTCTAGATCAGGGCTTTTCAACCTTTTCACCGATTGTACCACTTTTAGGATATGGCAGTATTCGAGTACCACCTAGCAAGGTGTCAAAAACTTGATGACCAAAAAAAAAAAAAAAAATCCTGTTCAAAGTTGCAATTGCACTGAAATGTCTTCTGACCATTTTTTCACTTATGACCATTGCAGCATGCCCAGGGTCATGTGATTTATATTTGGATGCTTGGCAACTGATTCATATTTATGATGGTCACAGTGTTCCAGGGTCATGTGATCCCCTTCTGCAACCTTTTGACAAGCAAAGTCAATGGCAGGGCTGCTGGTGGCCAAGTGCTAAAGCGGGACTTCCCTCCCTCCCTCCTTCCCTGCCTCCCTCTTTCTCATGCCCACCTCCTTCTGAAGGAAGAATTTGAAACTCCCCCCACCCCATGTTTTCTCTCTCCCATATATTCATCAAACAAGGAAAAGCCCCCAGAGACAGAAAAGACAAGCTGCTGAGTGAACTAGCTTAAAAAGGCACATTCCCCTTTAAGAATTAGCTACTGGCTAGAAAGAAAAGTTAAGGAGCGCAGCCTGCACTTAAGGAAGAAGAAAAAAATGTAGTAAGTATTGGCTGCTGGCTAAGGCAGCCTCCCCAAATGGCTCCATTCATAAGTAAAGGCAAAACCCATTCAGGAGAAAAATACTTCAAAATCCCTTGCAGCAAAACTTACAGCTAACAATAGCAGAGCAATAGAAGCTAACACCAGACATCAGCCATTAGCCAAATAGAAATTGCCAAACACTCCTTAAGAACACAAAGCCCTCATCGCACAAATCCCAGAACTTCAAAGTCACAAAAACACATAAGAATCCTTCCACTCTCCATCTTCCTCTCTCCCCTGTGCCTCACCTCCAGCCATTGCTGCTTTTTTTCATTCCTCTTGGAGGTGACCTTCCCCACTGCATTTCTTGCCTGTTTGCTGCTGCCAGCACAGGTGGCTGCCACAGCAGTTGTACATTGGCTCATGGCCGACCTGCTTGATTTCTTCTCCCCCCTCCCTCCTTCTTCTTCTTTCCCTTCAGTGTAGCTAGAGCTGACTCCACCTCCTCCCAAAGCTGCTGCTTTCTCTCTCTCTCCCTCTCCCACCCAAACTGCCTCCTTTTATAGCCTCTCCTGTCTCCGCTCCCCTCCTCCTCCTTTCTCATGGGGGAGGGTGAGCCAGAAGTGAGCCTGGGGCCTTTGCCTCACCCCAGCCACTCTGCAGCTCCAGAGGACTCTCTCACAGTAAGTCCTTGCCTGTGCTGGCTCTTTCCCTCCCCCACTACACTTGGCTAGGCAGGGCTGCATACCACCTGCCACTCGTTAATGTACCACAAGTGGTACGCATACCACCGGTTGAAAAGCCCTATTCTAGATATTTTTAAGTTGGCAGGGGCTGGAACTTTGAAAATAGATATTTCTAGTGCAACCAGCAGAATCTTTTAAAAGCAAGAGGTATTTGTCTTTATTAAACTGTTAAGTCATTCTAGTCTTCTATGTCTAGTTATAAAAATGCTTTGGCTTATGGCAGCAATAAACATTCAGTTTCCAAGCTAAAAACCTACTAAACTAAAATTCAAAACAACAAATGGTTTGAGGACATCGGTACCTTCAACTTCCCTGCAGAAAGTAAAGAGAACGTCATCCTGAATTTGTACTATTTTTGTTCTACACAAACGGCTCACCTTTTACCCCACTCTTCCGCAGCTCTCGGTCCTGGATGAAACCAGCAAACATCTGTGTCTCCATGAAGATATCTAGGAAATGGCGCACACTACGGGATGTATGGGACTTCCGGAAGGGCTCTCGCTGGAATACTCTCTCTCCTTTCTCAGTGACATGCATGTGCAAAGAATAGTGTCCCACAATTTCCACAAAAAAGCGCACAAAAACCTCTGATACTAGAGAGTCCAATGTCACATCACCTGCAGAAAGAGATGCAGCATTACACAGTCAATCCAGGAAGTGCTGCAATGGACAAGAAGCTATTAGTGTGCAAGGCCATTTTTTTCAAATTGAAGATGTAAGCATATGTATAAAAGTTATAGTATTTGGGGGGGAGAACATTAGCTGGAGTTCATTCTTGCTATTTTTTCACCCCATCATGGATTCATTCAGAGCAGAAATACATCTATTTGTCTAAGCAAGGTTAGAGGCAAAATTATTTTTCAACCAACGTCACCTTGTGTGTAGCAGCGTTCCTGAAACAAGATTTCATTCCTTTCTTCTAAGATTTGTACAAGTGCAGCCTGAAGCTTGTGAGGCAGAATTTCATCCTCATCTGAAACCTTTGAAATAAAATAATGGAGGAGACAGAGAAAAGATAATGGGGTGAACTGTATTAAGCATCAGTACCAACAACTCTATGAAATAACTTCAGTGTCAGTGATAGATGCATGATTCGGTCACATGTTATAAAGTGTAAATAAAATTAGCCTTATGAAAGTTGATTTACAACAGGGCCTATATATAAATTGCCAGTATAAAAACGTGGAAGTTTATATCATAATACTTTCTCTTTTTTTGCCTTCCTTCATAATACTTTCTGTGTTAGAAACTGCATAGGGAAGGATTTTTTGCAAGCATCCTGATACTAAAATTAACAAAGGTTCAGACAATCTAGATCAACACAACTCAACACCTTTTTAACTTCTGCTTTGCAGAATAAGACAATGAGCAATTGGTCAGTCTGTATTTGTTTGTCTTGCAAAAGCAGCATTTTGGTCAACAGCAGACAATGGTCACCAGCAAGTACATCATGACATTATTTTAAGGAACAAAAAACTGAAAGTAAACAAAAAACCCACATGTGTCTAGACAATGAAGGGAAGTAGAGGGGGAGAAGTCCATTGGAGGTTTTCCTAAGTGCCTTGCTCTATGATAAATGGCATGTATGATTTGGCCTCCTGTATGATATGACTAGAGTTGGAGTTGATAACAGTATAATGTGAGTGGAAAAGCTTAAATAAATTTACACTTGTGTTGTGCTTCTAATTCAGCTCTTCCATTGCTATATAAATTAAAATAAAAATATTAAGTTAAGCCTGTCATGTAGCATAATGACATATTCAGACAGTTCATTCTGGAAATAGGTTTATACACTGCCACCCACCCCTACCACCAATAGCAAAAATCTAGAAGATTTGCTTGGTGGTTTTACATCAATCAAAACAGGACATACTGTAATTGCTCTCAACTGTATTTTAAACTAAACATATTTAAAAATAAATCACAGTTCAGGAGAGAGCCTAGCCAGCTTGCTTTAATTAAACTTTTCTTGTAACTCAAACTGCAACATATTTACTTTCTTTAATGTAGAAATAGACTTCCTTGGGGCTGAGCTCAACTCCCAAGGACTACATGGACACATCTATACAGTTTTCTTGGCAACAGAGATTTGACATTTCCTTCTTCTGGGATTTCCTCCCCTTCCCCCCAACTTTCCAGTCTAATTTATAGCTCTAGCAGTCTCTCATCCAAATGTTAACCAGGTCAAATCATTCTTAGCTTTTTGGGGTTAGGCCAAATACTGTCACGGCAGCTTGGTGCTGCTATTTCCTATGGCAAAGCAGACACTAGTAGGACCTATTATTTTATTCACCTTTTGCAGAAACTTATCAGCACAGAGATCAACGATCAGTACCTAAGAAAAGGAAAAGGCATACAATTAATGCAAATCTTCAGTTGCTTCAAGCAACTCCTTGCCCCCCTTTCAATTGCATGAAATGTTAACAGCTGACCACAGGGCTACTCTTTTGTATTAAATTTCTGCTGTTCTCATTAACTATTAACAATTTGGAATGCAACTCAGTTTACTATTTCATAGCATTAATTTAAATTCAGCCCCTGTGAAGAAATTAAGAGAAAACTCTTATAGGCTTAATAACTGGCTGGATACAGCTACCTGAACAAGTCTTTCAGAATTCTGCTTTAATGAGTTGTGGGAATAGCCTTTGGACAATTACCAGTGTCACATTTAAAAAGGCAAACCAGCACAATATCAATGTGTGTCTTTGACCTTAAAGATGAATTATCATGTTTTTAAAAGTAAGTAAGTAAGTTAGTTATACAGTCATTAGATACAGCATAGTAAAAATGCTCTGCATTCTGGTTTCACAGATCTCACCTCTTCTATAGGCAGGTCCTGGAGATGTGTTAAGGAGCAGGAGAGGATGCCAATAAGAAAAGGAGTAGGCGAACAAACAATATCTATCATGGAGGCTGGCAGGACAGGGATGTAAGTGTGTTGCCAGGTAAATGGGTAGAGGGTTGCAACCACAGCATGGCCACATTTGGACAAGGTGCTATATGGAAAGAACATGAAATGAAAATTGTATCAGTAAATAAAAACATCGGTGTCTGAACCCCTCAAGAAATGGTTGTACGAAGAAACTAAAAAGTAATGTATAAAGTGGTTCTACATGAGGAAAAAGAAACAGAAATGGCTCCTTCAAAGCAAGTGAAGTGCAAAACTGAATGTTGTCCCACATTAAAGATGTTTTGAATGATACAAGGCAGCATACCCAAGAGAAGGTCTAGAATTCTCTTTATCATGCTAGAGCTCCCAAGGCAAACTATTTTAAATAGAAAAGCAGTCCATAGGTCTCACCAGCATTAGGAAATATAGCAATTCCTGGGAGGCAATTCTATGCACTTCTCCCAAAGATGAAGTCTATACCTGATTTCCAGAACAGCATTTAATTGTGTGCACTAAATATTCTATCCAAATACGTGTTAGAAGGGGCGTTGGTCTTACCTGAACGCCTTTTCTCAGTACGGAGATGGATAATCCATGGATGGGTTTTCTCTGTCTGCCTGCTCTTGAGACCAAGTAGCCAAAGCTTGACACGCCCCCACTTCCTGTGGAGTCCATTCTTAACGAGGGCGAATTGGCTGATGATTGACGAGGTATTAGCTCTCAGCTCCCTACTAGCGGCCTGCTGGCCTTGGGGTGGGTGTGGATTATCCATCTCCGTACTGAGAAAAGGCGTTCAGGTAAGACCAACGCCCCTTCTCCAGTACAGGAGATGGATAATCCATGGATGGGACGTACCAAAGCCTCACTGTCCCAAGGGGTGGGAAACAGATAAGGCCGGTAGATTGATCTCTGAGACAACTTGCTGGAGGACCCTCCTACCAAAGGAGGCATCCGCCGATGCAAAGCGGTCTATCTTGTAGTGTCGTATAAACGGGGAAGGCGAGGACCATGTCGCGGCCCTGCAAACTTCCTCGATTGACGCCTGGGTAGCCCATGCCGCCGAAGTTGCAGCGCTTCGGGTGGAATGGGCTGTGAGATGACTTGGGGGCGGCAGGGATGATACATTGTAAGCTTCTGCGATACAGCTTCGGATCCACCTTCCAATGGTGCCCGCGGAAACTTTCCGCCCCAAGGTGCCCGCTTGGAAGGACACAAATAGGGCCTCCGATTTGCGGAAGGGTTCTGTACGCTTTATATAACGCCGCAAGGCTCTGCGGACGTCCAATGTATGCCACTGCCGCTCCCGGTCATGTGTTGGATTTGGACAGAAGTTTGGGAGAATTACTTCCTGTGTCCTGTGAAAGAGTGAATTCACCTTCGGTATGAAGGCAGGATCTAACCTAAGGACCACCCTGTCCTTGTGGAAAATGCATAGGTCGTTTCTGACTGACAGTGCGGCCAGTTCCGAAATTCGTCTGGCCGATGTGATGGCAATCAGGAACGCCACCTTTAGCGACAGGTGTCGCAAGGAAACGGTCGCCAATGGTTCAAATGGTGACCGAGTGAGTGCGTGAAGGACTCGCGGTAGTTCCCAGGACGGGTACCTGTGAATTACTGGAGGTCTGGTGTTATAGGCGCCCTTGATAAAGGCGCGGATCCTGGGGTGGTGAGCTAAGGGAACCGAATCCGTGCAGGTGAGGAGGGTGGACAAGGCCGCCACTTGCCTGCGGATGGTCGCGGGGGCGAGGCCTCTGTCTAGTCCCTCCAAGAGGTAATCTACTATCTGAGGGATGTAGAGTTTGTGTAAGTCAAACTGCCGTTCCCTGCACCAAAGGCAAAAATTTTTCCAAGTGGAGTCATAAATGCGGTTTGTTGCCGGACGGCGTGAAGCTTGAATTATGGTAATGGCCCCGGGAGAGAATAGTTCCTGTGCCATTATCTGGCGCTCAAGTGCCAGGCGGTCAGTTGTAACCATTGGGGTTCCGGGTGACTGATGGTTCCCTGGTGTAGGGACACTTGATGAGGGGGAATGTTCCATGGGGGCGACTGAGACAGGTTCATCAGGTCGGCGAACCACGGTCTCTGTGGCCAATATGGTGCTACTAGGATCACTTCTGCCTGCTCCTGAATCAGCTTTCGGATGACCGCCGGTATGAGTGGTAGTGGGGGAAAGGCATAAAGCAGACCCTGAGGCCACTGAGTTCTCAGAGCGTCCGTCCCCTCTGCTCGCGGGTTGAAGTAACGAGAGTAAAATCTGGGGAGCTGGGCATTGTCTGATGATGCGAACAGATCGAGGATCGGGTACCCGAACTTGCGGGAGATGTCTAGGAACAAGTTCGGGTGTAGCCCCCACTCCGAAGGGTCCACTGTGGTGCGGCTTAGGAAGTCCGCTTGCTGGTTGTTGACCCCCGATATGTGTTCCGCTTTTAGTGACTTCAGATTGGGCTCTACCCAGCTGAATAGGAGTCGTGACTCTGTCATCAGGGTTTTTGATCTGGTCCCCCCCTGCCGATTGATGTGCGCCTTGGCTGCTACGTTGTCTGTTAGGACTAGAACGTGGTGGCCTCTGATTCTGTCTTTGAATTGTTGCAAGGCTAGGTGGATAGCCCTGAGTTCTAGCCAGTTGATGTTGTTTCTCAGATCCGTGGCGGACCAACGTCCCTGTACAAACTGGGAGTCCAGATGGGCTCCCCAACCATACAGACTGGCGTCTGTAGTGATGGTAACTCTGACTGGTTCCTTGAAGGGTGACCCCTTGGTCACGGCCCGAGAGCACCACCAGCGTAGCGCCCTGCGGATTTGTGCCGTGACCCTGACTAGGTGGTTGGATGCGCTGGTGTTCTGCCGTTGGTACGGGAGCAGAAACCACTGTAGTTCCCGTAGGTGGAGCCTGGCCCAGGGTACAATGGCTATGGCCGATACCATCTTGCCCAATAATTGGGAAAGTGTTAGTATCGGAACTGAACGTTGCCTGTGAACCCAGCGAGCCAGTTCCCTGATGCCGGCCACCCGGTCTTGGGAGAGATAGACCATACAGTTGGTTGTGTCTATCATGGCCCCCAGATGCAGCAGCCTGGACGAGGGAACTGTCTGGCTCTTCTGAAAGTTTACTGAGAATCCGTGTAATTGGAGGACGCGAATGACGGTCCTTACGTCCGCCTGAGCTGTCTGTAGGGATGTTGCTTGGATTAGTATGTCGTCTAGGTAACATTGGACGCGTATTGGGATTTTTCTCAGTTTGGCGGCTACCGCTGCTAGTATCTTGGTAAATACCCTGGGTGCCGAAGATAGACCGAAGGGGAGAGCTCTGTATTGGAAGTGTTTTCCCCCGTAACAGAAACGTAGGAACCGGCGGTGGTTTGGGTGGATGGGGATGTGAAGGTAGGCTTCCGTGAGGTCTATCGATGCCAGGAAGTCTCCTTCTCTGATGCTTCCCAGGATGGACTGAAGGGATTGCATCTTGAATTTTTTGTATGTGATGTAGCGGTTGAGGTTTTTTAGGTCCAGGATTGCCCTCCATCCTCCTGAAGTCTTTGGAACCACAAAGAGGATGGAGTAAAATCCTCTGCCTCTGTATTCCGCTGGGACCGGTTCTATTGCTTGAATGTCCAACAGGTGTTGGATGGCCTCCTGCATGAGTTTGCGTTTGGTGGGGTTCCTGGAGACCGAGCAGTTGATGAGTCGGTCTGGGGGTGTGACCAGGAACTCCAGGGACAGCCCGGACTGGATGGTTTGTAGTACCCAGTTGTCCGTGGAGGTCTGCTCCCACTGGTGGAAGAAGTGAGCTAGTCTTCCTCCAATGGGTAGGTCTATGTAGGAGTCATTTTGTCTTCCGGTACGGACGACCCGTTCCACGAAAGGGTCGTCTCGACTGGTTTTGTTGTCTGGGCTGGAACCCCGGTCTGTCGTAGGGGCGGCCGTACGGTTTGTTCTGCCTGGGAGTGAATGGCTTGGGTGCCTGACTGATAGGCGTGGTTGTCGGTTGACGAAAGGACTGCCTACGAAAGTAAGGTGTGGTACGTTTGTCTGACCTTTTGTTCAAGTGTGCCATGACCTTCCGCTTGTCTTTGTTCTCTACAAGATAGGGGTCCAAGGCCTCCCCAAACAGACCGTTGCTTGAGTAAGGGGCGGTCGCTAGCCGCCACTTAGCCTTGGTGTCAGCTTGCCAGTGTTTTAGCCATAGCATTCTCCTGGCAATTATGTTGGATGCTATGGATCTGGATGAAAAAATGGCCGATTGGAACGTTGCGTCTGCAGCGTATTCCGTGGCTGCTACCATCTTAGCCAGGTCCTGGTGTGTTCGTATGTCCTCCATAGGAACTATGGTTTGTAGTTGTTGCAACCAGATGAGGGTGGCCCGGACAAAAAAGGAGGCCGAGGTGGCTGCTTTGATGGCCCATGCCGCTGTCTGGTGGGTTTTGCGAAAGGCTTGTTCCCACTTTTTGTCATCTGCCTTAAGGGCCTCCACTAGGTCCCCAGCCATGGCTGTCTGGGAGACCAAGGGGGTCCAGGCTTCATCTACTTTAGGAATTTCTAAGGCCTCATTGAGGTCTGTGGCAGTGCTGTATAATTTTTTGTCCGTACCACTCACTGATGGGAAGGAAGCGGGAGAGTCCCATGGCTTCTTGATCCCTTTCAGGAAAATGGCGGGGCAAGGTATATGGTGTTGCGTTGTCACCTTTTCTACGAATACGGGTCTGGATGTGGTGGCCGGTGTCGCTTGCGGCTGAGAAAACTGATCCGTCCCCATGTCCGCAATGGCTGTGGCCTTGCGTAGTATCGTGAGGAAGCGGTTGGGATTAAATAATCCCCCTGAGGGGGGCTCAGGGGGAAGTTCCTCATCCTCTGACATAGAGATCCCAGGTTGATCCTCCTCTTGTGGTGAAGAATAACCACTCATGGAGGACTGGGCCGGGGAGACGGGTTCCTGAATGCCTGAGGACTCTGAGGGGAGTTCCGAGTGTGGCATGGCTGAGATGGAGGGCCCCTGGTCGTGGTGGGCGGAGCGCTGTGCTAGGGCTCGGTCCACCACTTTGGTTAATAGGGCCTCTAGCCGTCCATCTGCCCAGATGTCCCCTATGTCATTACCTTTGGGTGTGGTGACCGCAGGTGGAGAGTTGGACTCAGTGGTTGTGCCTGCCGCCGTGGTTGTTTGTTGGGCTGATGTAGATGGCGGATCCAGTGGTTGCGGTGTTCCTGGAATGGACCACGCGCTCTGGGTTGATGTGGATGGACCCAATGGTAATTCCATCTCGGTGGCCGCTATTTGAACCAATTCCAATTGGGCCTGCCTCTGCGCTCTGGAGAACTCCTTCTCCAGGGCCTGGTGCCTACGGCTGGCTTGCTTTTCCGCCAACTTGGAGGGCCTCTTGAGCGAGTGTTTTGTCTTCGCTTTGCACTTGCCTGCCGCCTTCTGGTCAGAAGGTGTGTTGCAGCCGTAATTGGGAGGTGGAGGGGTCGTGCTCATGGATTGAGGCAACGAGGGTCCCTCCATTCCGCTTGAGCAGTCCCAGAAAAACTGAGAAGACGCTCAGGCAGGCAAGTATTGGCGGGAGCGAAATTGGAACAAGTACCAGGACTGTTCCCCTGATCACCCGACCACAACAAAAATATTCTCTCTGGGCTAAGGTCACGGTAGCTGAGGGAGGTACCGAAGGCACGTTTGGAACCACTCTTTGGGTTCCGCCCGGAGGCCTTAGGTGACCAGGCAACGTGCACCAGTAGAAAAAGGAAAAGGGAGGCAAAAAATATCAGTGGCGACCTCAAAAGGGTCTGTAGGCCTGACTTAATACACAGCAGGTATCAAATGGCGGTCACCTAGAGCGGAATTTATTCTTATTAATACTATTACTATTATACTAATAATAGGAACAACAATAATAGTAAAATAATAATAATAATAACAACAACAACAATAATGGTGATGATGATAATATTGTGTGTTCTGTCTTTAGGCCTGTTGGCCCTGCAGTCGCTTAATTTTTAGCTTTAAAAAAAAATTTTTTTTTAATTATTATTATTATTATTTTTAAAATTTATGTATCTATTTTTATTATTATTATATTTTGTCCTATTATTATATGTGTGTATCGGGGGTGGAGCGCTGGTTGTGTGCTCCTATTCCGCCTCTATCAGTGATTCCAGATATGATGTAGAGCTTCCTTAAGCTCGGTTTGCCTTTCTCTGGCAAGAGATGGCAGCCACAGCTCGTTTCTCCCTGAAAAAGGGCTTTGCAGATCCCAGGAGGGTTCTCTAGCCTCCGTTTCTTGGTTGGGGCTTACTCCCTTCCTGTGCTTCGTTTCCCTCTGAAGATAAGCTCCGCAGCCTCCCAGAAGCTGCTTGTGCCCGGGGATTTAAATTTGGCGCGCTGTGACGTTTTAAGGGAATCCCAGCCAGGGATTGCCTTTGTTGTCTGAAAACGGCAACTAAAATGGCGCCCGCGGTTGCCCTGGGCTGCTAGGGAATCTCCGATGATCCGAATTCAAGTTTGAATCCGGACCTGGAGATTGTTATTTTTTCCCCCAATTTGAGGAAAAAATCCCTTGGAAGGTTGGGGAGAAAAGCTCAGCAAGTGGTCTCTGCTGATGCCTTTGTTCCCCCCCCTTTTTCACCTCCAGAGCCCTGGGGCTGACTGGGATCCGTGGGGAGTTTTCCCCCCCCACACCCCCTTTTTCAATTTTAATATAGGATCAGGGATGATCCCAAGGAAAACTTAGTGGTTGGGGAAAAGGTTCAGCAAGTAGTCTCTGCTGATGCCTTCTTCCCCCCCTTTTCACCCCCCAGAGCCCTGGGGCTGGCTGATATCTGTGGGGAAATTTCCCTCCCCACCAATCCCCTTTTTAATTTTAGGTTTGAGATCAGGACTGATCCCCAGAAAATTTTGTGGTTAAATTCCTATAGGTGGAAAATTTTTTTGGGAAGGGGAAGCCAATTATCAAGGGATAATCAATCAATGGATTTCTTGTCTAACCTGATAAGCTGAGAGCCACGCCAAAACGAGTCTTCTCCGAGCAGAGACCAAGTTAAGAATGGACTCCACAGGAAGTGGGGGCGTGTCAAGCTTTGGCTACTTGGTCTCAAGAGCAGGCAGACAGAGAAAACCCATCCATGGATTATCCATCTCCTGTACTGGAGAATGACATATTTTTTTCCCCTTGAAAAACAGATACCTCACTTTCTATGTACTCTTCCCACTCAAATGAAATGTATAGCCTGCTTTTGGGCTGAAGATTGTTTGCCTATATATTTTTATCCAGCCTATATATATATACATTGTATAACAAAAATCACAAGTTTATAGTAGCATGAAAGAGTTACCTTAGATTGTCAGCAACAAAGATCACCCTTCTTTCTAGCAGAAGAGAAGCACAAACTTGGATCAAATGAGAGATATTGAGGCACTTTAAGAGACATTCAAAATCTACATGTTCTAATCGGGAATCCAGTGGACGGCAAAGCTCAATCACCTAAAAGCAAAGAAATGAAAAAGAACCATGGATGACAAATACATTATTTTATTGTACTTGCTTTGGTGGATGGCTGGAAGAGATACACAAACCAGACAAATAGAATCCAAAATAAAGATTGAAAGCCTTCAGATTGCTTTAGACAAATTAATTCCATTAATTACTTCTACTGGATGATGAAATAAGCCTATTAGATGACCATAACTACAGGGACCTTCATTGGATGAAAATTATATCTTAGCTTTTACCTCGTTGCCAGCTCCGGGCAGGAAGCTCTTCACAGTGATGGTACGCCCAGGAGCAGGGAATGGTGCTTCCATAACACTGCGCATGAATGGGTGAACTAGGGCAGGGGACATCTCACGCCTCTTTTCCACTTCATCTAATATCTACATAAAAAGAATTTGCTGTTACCTGTCTGGTTCCTTTTAAAACAGTAGAAAGAAAGGAAAAAGTAGGGAGGACTGAAATAATATATTTATATCTTTAATGTGTATCAGGCTGTACGCAATTTTGTTTGTGCACGTGCACACACATGCACATGTGTGCCTTCAAATCAGTGCAGGTTGTTTAGCAACATTTTTTCAAGTGGCTAGCCAATACTTTCTTCCTAGGACTGAGAGATAGTGGCTGGCCCAACATCATTCAGCTAACAGGTCTGGACTCTTGGTCTCTAGGCTGATGCCTTTAACTATTGCATCAAACTGGCTCTCAAGGTGCACATTTATATTTTGCAAAATATTTTGCTTTTCAAACCTTCATAGAAACCAATTTTTCAGTTTATTAATCCTGAAAATAGGCAGACCTGGCCCCTAAGAGTTTCCCAAGCTATCTTCAACTTTTTTCTTTCCTGTTCATTATTCTTTTAATTTTAAGTCATGTCCACTATTTTCAGAATGTATTCTCAGCATTTTGATAGACACTGGACACTCTGAATTTTCATTACAGAAGCATTAAATAAGATTCTGCAGCAGAACCCAATTTATCCTAGCGCCAAAGCATTTTGACATCCTTGGCAAAGTCATATTCTGACATTCTCTATGGTTTGGCTCATCTTCTGAATTCGTTAGGAATTTCAGAAAGATGACTTCTTGTTTTATTTTTCTTTGAGTTTTTGAACTTTACACTTATAGTTTTCAGCTCAGTCACAAAACCCACTGATTTTGCTTGTCAGAAGGTTGCAAAAATATGAGTCAGTTGCCAAGAGTCTCAATTTTGATCACGTGACCATGGAGATATGTAACAGTCGTAAGTGTGAAAAACAGTCATAAGTCACTTTTTTCAGTGCCATTGTAATTTCCAACAGTCACTAAACGAACTGTTTCCATCACAGCTTTGTCTTGCTTCAGGAGTACATCAGCTTCCCAAGGTCCATAGCTGTAATAATAATTTCTTTTTGGTGTCTTACAACATTTGGTTAGTGTGCAGTAAACTACCACTCTGATTTTGTAAGTCTTTTTTGAAATATACAAAGAAAAAGTTCTAAAGCAACAAAGAAAAATATCAGATTTTATACTCAAGTTGTGCACAGTATTTTGGGATTCTTTTCCATTTTGGTACCCCCTAAAAGCTGCCTAGGTTGCTTAGCTCTAGGACAGCCTTGAAGTAGCCAATGTATTTCTGTTTTCTGCAAGTAATCAGTTCTGGCAAAACTGCATCTGGCAAAAACAAGCTACCATATAAAGCTGTCCTTCCTCTTAGTAGCTTCAATAGCTGGAAATAGAAAGCAGCCCGCCAGGACAAAACTTAGCGGGCAGTTATACCACTTCCAGGCTTGGGCTCTATTCACATCCTGCCCCCGGAGTAGATTACTTGCAAGAACATTGAATCCTCTGTAGAAAAATGGTTGCCATGCCTTTTTTACACAACCAGTTTTGTACCAAAAAGAAATGTAATTCCCATAGATATTTGCTGTTGAAAAGCAAGCAGCAATATGAATGCAAACTTCCTCACCTTAGAAAAAAGATTGAAACAGCCTAGGCGGCTAACCATACAGTAGACTTCAGGTAGCCGCTTTCCTTTCCCTTCTGGCTAAAAAGCAATAGAAAAAAAGTGTTACTCAAGTATCCCAGTATCTAGTAATAGCTTTCCCTATCTCCTTTTTTTTACTTGACATATCAGTCCCATTAACTGTTGGACTGATCCTTTGCTATTTATCTGTTTTCATCTAAGTTTGGCTCATTTTATCTAAAATACAAAGCACTAGAGTAGGGGTCCCCAACCCCCGGTCCGTGGACCAGTACCAGGCCGTGACATGCCAGCAACCGGTCCACACAAACAAGGAAAGCCCCATCCACAAGATGCAGGCAGCACACAAAACCACGTCCCTTCCGGTCCGCTGAAAAACCTCTCTCCACTTAACTGGTCCCTGATGTCCAAAAGGTTGGGGACCTCTGCACTAGAGCACATTGCAAACTATTTATTAATAAGATTGCTAACAAATAATTGCTGTTTACCAGCTCCTGCACAATGGAGATAAATATAAATTGCTGAACATTTCTATCTGTTTTATTATCATCTTTAGCAAGAAACCACTTGGATCCAGATTCTTTCAGGTACAGACTCCAGTGGATAGTTAAGACTGCATAAAGAACAATTGCAACCAGTCTGCCTTCCAAAGAAGACCTTTATATTGCATGGGTCAGAAGGAGAACTGAGAAGATATCTGCAGATCCCTCACATCCTGGACATAAACTACTTCAACTCCTCCCCTCAGGATGGCACTACAGAACATTGCAGGCCAAAACAACTAGACTCCGGGATAGTTTTAACTGTCACTCCAGCAAACTGCTGAACTTCTAATTCTCACAGTTCTATCTAATGTCTATGTATATTTACTGTACCCATCTAGTATGGCTGTAGTATTATCACTTATCCTTCTTATCCTCTTTATTTCCCCCTTTTATTAGTATTACTATGATTATGATCATTAGTCTGTTGCTTTGCATATATACCGAGAGCTTATGCACCAGAAACAAATTCCTTGTGTGTCTAATAAAGTAAAGCCGATAAAGTATTCTATTCTATTCTATTTCTATTCTATTCTAAAATAATAACATAAAATTCACTGTATCAGTTAAGCATATGGAGGCTTTATATGTATGTTTCACTAATACAACAAGTCCTTACACTAGCACCTTCCTTAGGTGCTTGACTTTCTCTCAGTATAAGATTCTGTGTTACAAGTTTTCAGAAAGCATTTTTCCTCAATATAAGCTCTTCTTCAGATCATAACTACCACTGGTTGTATTCAATTTCTATTATAATGTTTTTCTTCTGATTCTTTTATGAATTTTTGATTGAGGGAAAGACAAATGTTGGTGGATTTTGATGTTGTTCCACTGCAAAATTCTGGGACAGTGGGGTACCTACATTCACTTCCAATGCAACACTTGACAAATTCTTTCGTTTAGTTTCTACACTAAAGAGTTGCTGGGAGTCAGGTGGCTCATTATTATTATTGTTGTTATTGTTGTTTGTTGCAAAATCAAACAGATGTTCAGGCTGTATTTGGCATTTTTATCAACCTAACAAGTCTTTCCTAGAGACCTGGGATAGACAGATGTTGATGTCTGATGGTGTTAAAGGTATTGTCGCAGGATGTAAGCTATTTTGAGTAAAGCTTCTTTAATAATTGACTTATGGTGGTTTTTGTCATTGCCAATGGTGCTCAAGGGGTATTGTTATGGGATAGTACCCAAGGCGCCCATTACTATTGGAACTACCTTTGCTTTCTTTTGCACAGTCATTCTATTTCTATTTGCAAATAGTATCAAACTACAAAATCTTTGTGTTTTGTTATCTTCTCCAGTTCTTTCTCTTCTATTCTGCTATCTCCAGGCATTGCAACATCCACCATCCAGACTTTCTTGTCTTTCTCATTATTAAGTCTGAGGTGTTATGTGGCAGGTGCCTGTCTGATTGAATCCTTAAGTCCCAGAGTATTTCTTCTTCTTTATTTTCTATTATTTTATCTATGTTATGGTCCCACCAATTCTGCTTTTGTGAATACTTTATTTTGTATTATAAATTATCATTGATCTGCTAGCCTTTGTTCTGTTGTTTCTGATTCTGGATGTTGTTTTTTCCAGAACTGGTGAATTAGTTCTTCTTGCCGAACTTGCTTTGTAATAACAGATCATTATTTCTTATATTCTACAAATATATCTCTGTATATTTGCAATAGGTAAATTCCTTTTCTTCTAAGAGGTCTGCAACTGCTGGCCCTGTTTTACTCAGCCAACAGTCCTGAGTCCTATAGCCCATTTTTCACCAGATGTCCAGGAACTCCCAACACCTAGCACTGTTCTTGTTGACCCGGGCAACAACCGAGATAGTATGTGTTTCTGTAATTTACATCTCATCATATTATGGGAGAGGCATTCTTCAGCTGGCTCTTCTGGTGAGACCTGTCCAGTATGGTTGAAGCTCTGGCATAACTCTCATCTTCCTCAAAGCACACAAGCCCTACAATCACATCAAGGTAGTGCCTCACTGGGGGGGGGGGTTTATCAATATTATTATTCCTATTAATATAGGGGCTACTTACCAAGAGCCTCTTGCAATATCCAAACCAGCGGCTGCCGTCCTCACCAGTTAGCACAAAGGAAAAGGTTTCACTGAACAACACACACACAAAAATGACTGTTAGTTTTATTAAGAAAGCAAGAGTGCAAAGAGTTCTTATATCACAACTGGATATAAAACATATTTCTCCAATCAACTTTCCATATAAGGGTTTTTTTCAGAGGCTCCAGAAAGTTTACAAGAGATATTTTATCATATGTTGACTTTCCAACTTCTCCACCCTGCCACAAATAACCATAATTGGCAGCTTAGAAATGATCACTTCACCACAGTGAAAGTATGATGAAAATGCTAGGGCCAGCAACATCCAGGCCATTGTGGCACTGTATTAGAAGGGTGAAAATAACAAGCACACACAAGATGAGTTTTTTTTTTATTTTGAATAGCATGGTATCTTATGCCATTCTGCTGCCCTAGAACTGAATTAGAGAGAAATGTTATGTTCCTTTCTGAAAGAGAGAGGGACAGATTCAATGCCAATCTCTTTTACCATGTCTCATGTTCTTGACTTTGCTTTTATTGAAACAATAAATATGTTTTAATAAAACATTTGCAATTAAAACAAAACAAAATGAAGCAAATTGATCTGCAGAGGAAAAAGCATGATAATCATGCTATCAAGGAGAGAGAGAGGGGGGGGGGAATACACACAAAACAGCCACCTACTTGGGGGCATATAAATATTAATACAATTTTATGAAGAAACTCAGACATTTTGGAAATTCATATTTAAGGCTGTAGTTTAAGACATTTATTTAAATGCAGACATTTGGAAAAGTATTGTTAATATAACAAAGTAATGGAGACCAGATTAAAATTTAATTGTGCTTAATACTGCAGTTTATAAGTTTTGTAAAATATGGTCACTAAACCAATAACACGATTAATCACCAAAAAGGGTAAGTGATTCTCCTATATACCGCAAAACTCTGACCAAAATGAATAAGGCATTAGGCATCCACTCACCTCTTTGTCTCTGAAGTTGGATACCAGTCTTTGGGATCAGGGAAACAAAATTTGGGAATAACCTTTAGTCGGTCTTCAGTGTCTTTAGATTGACGAAAAGGATGGTCAGACTGCAAATTAAAAAAAATTGCCAGGCCAGGCTATCAAACAAATAAAACCAGGCTAATATTTTCCTCTGTGCAGATTTACTTAAATTAGATGCAGAGACAGTGACTATGCTTCAACAGTATCTGGAAGCTGTGGGCAGCAATTTATCCAAGAATCTTTCAAGACACCCACTAAGTTTTTAAATTAAACATATGATTAAATAATATAAATGGAATACTGCCATCTGCTAGGGCTAGGCAAACCATCTGCCTCTAAAATTTATTTTGAAAGAGGTTTCTGAGCATCACACAGGCCCTATATGCATTTATGGAAATAAAAATGGCAGCTGTTACAATTCAGTTTGGAAATTTTTGTGATGTGCCAGATTATTAAGACAATCATTTTATGAATGGGCATAAATAAGGCAGTCATTTTGTGAATGTATTCACAATTCATTGTCAACATTCCAAATATCACTATCAGAACTAACATTCTGATTCTTGAACAATATCAAATCCTAACTTTTTGCCTCCTGACTATTCATTTTAGGTTCTTAATGAGCTACTTTTCACAGTGAATGTCTGTGGAGATTCTCAATTATCCAGGTCATGGTTATTTCAAAGGTGCTTTTTCACTTCTCATCCAAGAATCTTCATCAGTTCTGGCTGGATGGTTGTGTTGTATGTGTGTGTGTGTGTGTGAATAGAAGGATCTGTTAGAACTAATCCTTCCATCCCCACCACCACCAGCATCCAGCCAGAATTGATGAAGCTTCTTGGATGAGAAGTGAAATGTCTTTTTCTTCCTCAAGGGAAAAAAACATAGCCCTGTTGCCTTTTGAAAAAAAGCATCTTTGAGACTTCTTTTCACAGTGTTTTTGTTAAAAAAGCAGAACTTTTTAAATGGTAACAAGTTTCAGGGAGTTTTTACTTTTACAGCATTATTCCTTTGGAAGTTTTTCTTCACTATATGATCTATTCAAGCAAGTGACTGGCAGACTGTTTGGAAACAGAATTATTTTGGGAGCTGGTGGAAGTCTGTAATAATGGTGCTCATGTTATATAATCACTGCCCCATAATTACTAGAGTAAAGTTTCTTGCTAAATCCCAGTCTGAAAGACCCTTCTGTGCAAATCTTGTTAACAAACTGCAAAGTATTTCCTAGGCACAAGAATGGGCTGGCAAAATGCCATCATCCGTTTTGTCAACAGTGACATAAAGAGTGCAACAACCATGTGACTTTGTGAATAATTATTCACTACATTTCTGAGCAATGTAGGCCAGTGCTTTTTTGGTATCAGTAACAGCTTGGATTAAATCAGCACAGCTTTGGGATCACTGTGTTCAACTGTATTTCACTCCTCATCTGAGTCTACTACTAGCCGCACAGCACAAGAAACTAGTGTATCGTTTTCCCCAAAGAAACTAAAGTTACTTTCTGGCTTTTTTTTTTTTTTTGCAAATCATTTTGCAGTCCACCAGAATCTTCAGAGGGAATGCCCCCACCACATTATTTGATGGCTGCTTTTTTCAAAAGAAATGGTGGCTGGAGAAAAGGAAACAAATATAGGAAATTCTGTCCTCATCCCATTGTTTCTTTTTTCCAAATAATTCCTCACTCAAACTTCTTCCACCAATTCACTGGATTTCAAATACATATCCAAGGATGCAAATGTGCATGTAGAACAGGCATGTCAAACTCGCGACGTCATGTGACATCGCATGATGTATCGTGACTTTTTCCCCATTGCCGGCAATGGAGTGGGTGCAGTTTTGGCATGATGCATCTGGCCTGCAAGCCAGCAGTTTGACATGTCTGATGTAGAAGGTTTAAATCTGTCCAAGACCTTTGATTGTTATCAGATTTTAGAATAATGCCCCCAGAAATTGTTACCAAACTGTAATTCTGAATGTACTAGAAGACAGAGGTAATTACTTGTATCCCCAGAGAATTATCGTTAACTCTATATGAATACAGAAAATTTAAAATGTAAAGGAAGGGTTTTTTTTCAAGGCTAACCATTACTCTTTGGAATCTAGCTCCTAGCATCCTATTCAAAGGATAAATTCATCACTTAGGCTCAGAAAAAGCTTTGCATCTCTGCAGTACCCTGTAAGCCCCGGAAAACTATTCTATGAAATCATATTCTTTTGCATGAGGTTGAGATCATACAGAGCAGATGGTGAAAACATAAAATAAAATATGGTTAATGTATAAGTATGTTGTTTTTCTGGTGATCGTAGCACGGATAATACTGCTGTGGACAAAAACCCAACTACTGTATAAACAATTTACCTCACCTAAACCTGTGTTTCCCAGCTTCCAGATTTCACTTCCCAGAGTTCACAACATTAGTCATGGGAATTAACATCTACAGATCTGGAAGTTGGCCAGGTTGGGAAACACTGATCTATACTTATATACATGGTCACGGTAGACAGAGCACTAATTTACTTATTTCTTATGAGTCTGAACCAAGAAAGACTGAAGGACTTTTCATTAGAATCCATTAACAGCTAAATCCATAACATATTCTCCTGCAATATGGCACTTTGAGCATCAGCGGAAGCACAGCACAGCAAAGGCAGAGTGCTCATCTTGTGTTTGCTTATCAGTACTTAGGTCCATTCCAACTGGCCAACCAAAAGCACCTAAATTTAATTTTGTGGAGCATGGATAGTAGTAAACAGGCACCAACCTTACATGGAAACTGTTGTATAACCTGTGGGGTATAAGTTGCCTCTGATGACTTCTTCTGCAGAGATACCACCACAAACAGCTCAAAAAGCTGCTGCTCCTGGAATTCAATGAGATCTCGCTCCAATGTCTGATAGTGTGGGTTCCGTTTGGACTGAGCCTGGACCTGTAGAAGGCGCTTATGGCGACCTAGAGAAAAGAAGCAGTTCTTCAGTTGCCCAAACTTGCACTTTGGCTTAGTACAATAGCATGGCTTTCATTAATCAGAGACTGCAGAAATGGCTCTGAAGTTTCCCTATGGCTCAACAGCAAGTCAGTTTTTAGAGCTGCATCCAGCAAAACTAGAAGTAATAGCTATGTTGCTGGAAAAGAAATATTTCCATAAACAAAAGAAAATGTGGGTAGCAATAATACCCTAACCCAGTGATGGCGAACCTTTTAGAGACCGAGTGCCCAAAAACTGCCCCATCCCCTGACCTGTCCCTGCTCTGCCCCACCTCCACCCACCCGCAGGGCCATCCACTGCTTCCACGGCCCACCACAGATCACCCAGGCGGCCCTGCACCACCATGGCGGCTACGCTCTCCACCTGCGCCTGCAGTGTCATCTGCGCGTGAGGGGTGTGAAGGCGGTCTTGTCCCTGCTGCCTGGCTGCCATGTTCTTCGCTACGTGTGGGCGGCGCCCAGGGGTGACTCTCCTCCGGGGGGGCTGCTGGTGAGGGGGACATGGGGGAGACAGGACTGGAGTGATGGCGTGCGTACCCACAGAGAGGGCTCTGAGTGCCATCTCTGGCACGCGTGTCATAGGTTCGCCACCACTGCCCTAACCGTTCAATTAAAAAAACCATACAAATAAACTCATACTAAATTAACGTCACAAAGCCTAACTTCCGAATGAGCCTCTTGATCTCTATTGTGATAGACTAACATAAAGCTGTTCATTCTAAATGCACATAATGCTTTAAGAAGCACTGCGAAAGTTAGGAAAATTGCAGTGGCGCAAACTACACGGACACCAAATAAATAGCTATATGTTAAGCGTCTCCCTCTCTCTAGAGAAAATGCTGATCTGACCACCTTCATGAAACTATTGAAGGAAGGAAGTGAGGAAAATATTCATGGCTTGCTTGGCACTATGCCTTTATTATTGCCAGGGAACTGCTGTGTTAAGCTATATGCAAAGCTTAATTCTGACAATTTCCAGGCATGGTGAACAGGAAATGCTGGTGTGTCCAGGGCCATTGGTGCCAATTAGGACAGTTGAGTCACGATGCAGAGCCAGTTTGGAGCCTGCTGCTCTAGTTGTTCTTCCTCCAGTGTTTACATGCAAGGGCCAAGCGTTATATATAATTTCACTCCAGTTACTCCTTTTTCCCAGCGAAGGGCGTTTCATAATATTGCAAGAGACAGACAGAGACATGACTGGGCTTCTTTAGCTTCAGTGAAAGAAAGAAAAAAAGTTCTCAAGAGGCATCACTGAAAATGATCAAAAGGGAAAACACCTGACCTGGAAGGAGATGATTATTATGTGCCAAGTTGTTTTCAACTCCTTATTAATATGCTTATGGCATTATAAAATAAAGAAGGCTTCTAATTACAGCCCAATGAAACAGTGTGGTTCTTCCAAGGTAATCTTTTCCTTCCTGGGCACTTTATTTTTCTTCATCCTGACAAAAGGCACAACTATCCTTAGCAACTTGTTGCCTATCCATTCTTACATGCTTTCTCCTTTACATGCTAGGTCCAAATCTGCACTCAACAATCATCCTTGTTTAACTTTCCTTCAGCATTCTGGTCATGAAGTTGCTTGTTCCCATACTCTTTGCAGAAATTAGCCACTGCTGCCAAGCTATGGCTCCTGCGAGATGGGGGCCTCAAACAGTTGCAAGTTATTTGAAACACTTAAGGGGAGCACGGGAAACCTATTGAAAGCAGCAGGTACAGTAGACTTTCAAGGTAGTCCATACAAGAAGCACAACAAGGAATCCTGCTTTACCTTTATAGTAAGGTTAACAGAATCTTGCAAGACCGAAAGCATTTCTCCCCTCCCCTCCTCTAGGGAGGATCCCTTCTGAAACACTTCCCACACCTCCTCTGCTTCTGTGGATTGTGATACCTTCTGCATGAAAGATGTCTAGTCTGCAGCTCTCTGCCCTGTCTCCCAGGGTCATTACCACATACCATTACATGTGCCAACATCAAAAATCACAGTAGTCTGAACAGTTATGTTACATTTTGTGTCACTATTGCAGGCTTTGGTAGAATATCACAAAAAACGCTCTAGACAAATCACACTTACCACTTGGCGAACCTTTTAGAGACTGAGTGCCCAAACTGCAACCAAAAACCCACTTATTTATCGCAAAGTGCGAGGGCTGCATCAGTATTGTGGTGCCCTCAGAAGGGATGGGGGCGTGGCCCACTGGGTAGGCGTGGCTGCAGTGGTCACGGCAGACTGGGTGAGCATGGCATCCCCGGGGGGGTCAACGCCGCTTGCTCGCTCACTTCCTGCCGTCGCTTCCAAACGCCACGTGCTCATTACTCTGGCGAACTCTGCTGGGGCAACAGCGTGTGTGCCCACAGAGAGGGCTCTGAGTGCCGCCTCTGGCATGCGTGCCATAGGTTCGCCACCACTGATATATGCAAAGCAACTATCATTCTTTGCTATGACATAGCTATTACATTGCAGCTAAAAATTAAGAATGATGAACAGGCTGCCTTTCAAGAAAGCCTATCCGCATGACTGATTTCCTTTTCAAAGCAACTCTCATTAAGTTTCTAAGGGACCCAGGAGATCATAGCTTAAAAGTGATTATCCTGAGTTCTAAACCCATCTATTCCTCCTCTCAATCATCCCAGTTCTTAATGGATTCCTAGAATGGGATCGTACAAGCCTTTAAATGCTCATAATGCATCCATTTTGTTTGGCAAACAGTGACCATTCCAATTATTCAAATAGATCTCAGTCCCAAAGTACAATATTGACTGGGTAGAATTTGCACAGAACATAGGCATTCTCAGCAGTTATCTGCAAGGTATAATTATGCCACTTGACCTGTCTTAGGCCCAGTGATTCACTCACTCACTTTTCGGCAGATTCTCTGATTCACTGTCATATCCACTGGTTTCACCTGAAAGGACAAAAAGTTTCCCTCAGAATTTGCCACCTGGGTGGAACTGGAAATGTTGGAAGGAATCTGACAGGGCAACAATCAATTATGTTCCCATGCCGCTGAAAGTTAGAAACAATTGTCTATTCAAAAGCACATATACTTATGCGTCAGGTGTTAAATAAAGCAAGTCATGCTTATTATACAATTCTTTGGAGGCACCTTCTCCATTATGCAATGCAAAAGATGAGGGAACATGCATTGCTATCAATTGTTTAACATTACTTGGCAAGGAGGTATCACTGATTTGCAAAATGTAGATTACACAAACAGCTGTTGGTTCTAGCTTAGTATTTCAGCACATGTGGAAAAAGAAAGTCATATAAAACAGGAAGTACTATTGATAAGATATATACACCCACACAAAATACTACAATCTTGCTCTTCTGGTTTTAGCAACAAAAATTCTATGCCGTCCTAAAGGGACAACAGGATAAAAAAGAGAAATCACCAGTCACAGTATTTCTCAAGGGAGTTCTTAGAATTTATATCATTAAATCCAGGTTACTGAAGGGACCATCTCATCCCAATGGGACTGGCCTGCTCCACCCATGCCAGCAAAGGAGGCATGCTGTGGGCCCAATTGGCCAGGGAATTCCAGGTAGCAGACTCCAAGAGAAGAGCTTTTTCTGCTGTCACTCCTGCCCTTTGGAACATCTTGTCCCCCATATTGAGGTCAGCTCCAACCCTCCTGACCTTCTGCAAGAGCTTAAAGACCTGGCTCTGTCAGGTGGCTTGGGGCTCCAGTGGGAGAGCATCACAGTGGAGGTGGTTGATTCCTTAACAAGGAATCCCACTTCCCCCCAATCCTGCTCCCGCCCTTCCCATCTTTTAATTAGGATGGAATATTTGTATTTTTATAGTATTTTATTCATATTCTGTATAGGTTTTATACAGTTTTATTTTTTTTTAATATTGTAAGACACCAGAGTTAACCTGTGGTAAGATGGGTGGCCCAAAAATAAATAATAATGAAATGAAATAAAATATAAAATGAATTGACTGGAAGAATTACATTCAACCCAGCATTTATATACCTTTGGCTGGAGAAAGCTCTTTTCCAGTTTGCACCACCAACTTCACACGTTTCTTTCCTCGTCTGGAATCAAAGATCTCCTGTATCTTTAATACAAGCTGAAACCCAATAAAAAAGCAGTCATCAAGAAGGATGATAAGTTTCAGAAAAAGAAAAACTGCAAGTCATTTTTATACACGGGCTAGTATTAGAAAACACTACAGAATTTAGTAGAGCTGTAACAGAAGAACTGATGGTAACACAAATGCCCCCCCAAAAAGACTACTGTCATCTGCATAGTGCTACTAATGTAGAATGATCTTTAATCTGGATATCAAGAATATTCTAATCCATGATGAAAGCCAAACTGAACAAAAGATGTATGCAAATAAGTTCCCTGGTGCTATGCGGTGAATGCACTGCCTAAAAGCATTACAGGATTTTTATTTATTTATTTATTTATTTATTTATTTATTTATTTATTTATTTTGTGCAGGCATAGTTTAAAGTAAAGATGCCACTGAGCTCAGCTTGATCTTGCATCTACATAGTTTTCTTGAAAGTATTATGGAAGTGATTTGCTACTAGCTTTTTTCTAGCATTTTTGTTAACTTCTTATCTAAAAAACAGTTTACAACTGCCAACATTCTCCCATTTACAAGCCAGAATCAATCCTGCTTAGCTTCTGTGATCAGCCAAGATTAGCTAGATACTACCATTTGCCCAGAGAGAAAGTAAAGAACAAACTGCTACAGCTTAATTGTATAATTCTTTATTTATGTACACTTTTTCTTGGATAGTTGGTTTCTACCATTTCCAGAGAAATAGCCACAAGTTCAACAGTAACGGTGGTAGCTGCCCAACCCATCAAACATCATGTGGTGTCAAGTGTCTCAAGCCATAAGCAGAAGACAGAAAGATCTTTGCCACAGCATGTCTCGTCAAAACTTGCTGACGATCTCAGCTCCTGTTCAACTAGTTGCTATTTTAAACAATGGCACGCAGGCCAAGTTCTCTCTTGCCCAGCTTCAGGAATGCATTCAGCATTCCAAGCAAAGACAACAGGGTGGGGTCCACTTATTCCCTCCACTGCAAGTCAAATACAGATGCAGAAGACAGTTAGCAGGTAAACCATTCTTAGTTCCAACTCTTTTCTTTACTACAGCAGCCTAATAAAGTAAAAAGAAGAAAAGCATCTCAGAGATCCAGTCTGCTGCTCAGGGCAAAGGCAATACAATTTGACCTCAGGAAAAGTCTGCACCCATGCAAGAAACTCTTGCACTCTTTCCATCAGCTTCTTTTCCATTCCTCCCAAATTTTCCTTGGTTTAAATGGTTGATTTAAGAGCTTTTTCAGATTTTTTTCAAACATGAAAAAATGAAGTGGACTCAGAAATGTATGGTACCATGTAAAAGAATATCAGGAAGCTGAGACTGGTGCTTTTTGGAATACATGTACATGGTAAACACTTTGGAAATTTGCATTCGCATTGCACATGTTTTAAACTGACTGTTGCAAAGCTTGGTGCCTGTGATATTTGTAATGGCTTCAAGAATGACTAGAAAATGCTGTGAGCTGAATGCATGATGTCAAGGTACTGGAGAATACATTATTTTCCATGCTGGAATTAAAGAAGAATGTTTGGCTTACTTGGGCATTCTTCCAGCAATCATGGCCAAGTCCTATGAGTTCAGGATGAGAGAATAACATGCACTTCCTCTCTCAGTAAATTACTCTCACATTTCTGAATGTGGTTGGGGGGATCATTTTGTCTGAGGAATAATGCTCATATGGGACTTTTTAATCATCCTTTGTGGCTCATTTAATCATCTTTGTATGCTCCACATACATATGCAATAGTTAGAAAGACAGCACATTTGCCCTGTATATGTGCTAACTTTCCTTCTCTCCGCCTATTCCCTCTATCATAATGGAAATAAATTCTAACTGTGTGACTCTTTATCCCTTCTGGCTTTGAGTAACCAGAAATGGGACCTTCTTTTACTCAAATTTTCAAGTAAACATTATGTCTGTATTTCTTTTCCTTTGCAATGTTTCACAATTGTAAGATTCCTTAGAAGACAGTGCATATGTAGATTATTAAAAATTACTAAATTACTAATATTGATAAAAAAGATACTAACTGTATAAGATTCCAATTTCTTCAATGGACTGTATGTATGTATGTATGTATGTATGTATGTATGTATGTATGTATGTATGTATGTATTTACAGTAATTACAAACTGATCCAAATCTATACAACTCTAGGTGGTAAATTATGCTTCTTGGTTTCCTAATGTTTAGCTTACTTGCACATCTCTACTAATCATTCATCTAGAAGAGGTAGCATTCAGAAGCACATCAGGAAAGTTATATTGAAATTTTATGGAACAGCCTCATCTTTAAAGAGCTGCTCAATAGCTTTGAAGTACAGAACAACTGAAAGTTAAATCCTGAGTCAGGGGTAAGCAATCCCAGGGAAAGAAGTCCAAGCAAAATAAAATGAACTCACTTTAAGCAGTCTCACTCCTATTAAAAATATAAAAGTTACTCCTAGTGTAACTGGGAACTTAACAGTGTATTAACTACTGTACATCTTGCCAGATATTGCCAATGACATCTTGTTAGTGAATCTGCATGGTAATCTAAACAGAGCAGGACAGGATGTCTAGATAATTTTTTAAAAATATAATTTCAGTTCCCAGTTCTAAATAATTTCCTACTTAGGTCTTTTTAGGTAATATTGTTTATCCAATAATTATTTTATTAGGATTATTTTGAATTCAGATTGAGAACAAAAGAAATTTAAATGGCTTTTTAAATCTCCATATGTAGAGCTAAACACAGATTAAATGACTATGGTCTATTTGATAAGACAACCACATACTTCCCCTCATGTATCAAAAAAGTAAAGTACATATTGCAGATGGGAAAAGGAAGCTCTCAAAAAATAAAGAAGAGATAGGCATCTCTGCTGTAGGAGATGAAGTGCTAGAAAAACCTACATAGATTCAACTTTAAATCACTTTGATTAACCAGACCATCTCACTTTTATTGACAGAAAAGATTACATAAGAAAAGACTTAAATACTCTTCCTTAAACTTACAGGACAGAGGAACAGAATAGAAACCTGACAAATAAATATAAAACAAAGGACATTTGAAATAACAATCCACTGTTATTGCAGGAACTTCTGGATACAGTGTTCCCAAGCTCCTATGTAGTGATTGGGCAACTCCCCAAATTCAGTTAGCTTGACCGATGACCAGACAGGAAATTCTAAGAATTGCCATCCCACACAACTGGGGGCACCCAATTCAGAAAGATCAGGGTATCTATGTCTCTGTTAAATTTATATAGCTACCCATCTCATGCTTGTGATTCTGGGTGACAAGTACAATTAAAATAATTAAGAACTATAATAACATCTGATCATCTGATATTACCAACAACTCTCATATTTAAATGATGCAATAAAGAATTATTTAAGAAAACAATCACTTTCATTAAAAATGATAGGAATGACCCAACCAAAGAAGAGATAGGGAGAGGAAATAATTATTACTATTTTGGCTCAGTCCTTACCCGGGGAAGATTTTTTCTATTCTTGCTTCCAGCCTCTCCTGCTTTGAAGAACTTCCATTCAGTCAACGTAACAGGTAGTGTTGAATCTTTCGACAACTTCCCACGCAAACAGATCCGTGTGTTCTTTAGCTCCAAGGTTTTACGGTGAAAGAAGTGTGGCTTGTGGAGAAGCTAAAGAAAAGTGAAAGAAGGATAACAGAACGCAAGTGTTTTACAAAAAAAGCAATCTCTACTGAATTTGATACAAACAAATACAAACACAAAAACAATACATCCCACCATGCAAAAGGGTGGCCTGGTTTTTAGAAGAGTGAAAGCAGCAAGATCTAAAAATTGGGTTTGTTATTATGATATGAAAGTCTTCAATAGATATAATTAAGTCAGACGGAATCAAAATAATTCAGGGACAAACACAAGAAAGTAAATCTACTTGCATATCCCCTCCCTTTTAATACACTATATAAGGTCTCAGTCACAAACTATGTGTGGTGCTAAATAAAGCCTTAGGAGGAAAGTTATCTTTCTCTTTCTCTTTTCTCTGGAGAACTAATGTATAGTGACAGTGAGACTAATAGTTATGGGAGCTCTTTGGTTGAACTGTGCAATGAGGGAAAAAATGAAATCCTTCCCCCCCCCACACACACACATATCCTTGAAAACCACAGTCCCAATCTTCCTTTCCCCATGAATTCTACTTAGAATTAAAAGAGGGAAAGAAAAGAGAGATATAGCTTCCAGGAATGAATTAATCATTATATCCATCATGTCCATCAACCACTGTGCCAGATTATAAATCACAGAGAAATTTAGAATTCTTTAAGATAAGAAATCCCATGGAGGTCACCATTCCTTGCAGTTTCTTCTTTCTAGCTTTTTCATGTAAAAAAGAGATATTACTGTGGAACATTGGGAAATATTAGGGTCAAATGCATCGGTTTCAACCTCAGCAGATAAGAGGTACGTAGCTGAAGTAAAGCATGATGGGGCCTGATTAGTATTTGGATGGGAAATTATTAGAAATCCTAGTTCTGTTGACTAGATTAAGAAGTAAAAAAAAACGTGCATAGATACAATCATCAAGAGCTGGACTTGAAAGGGTATCTTTTATATAGGGTAAGCTTAGAAAACTAAATTAAAAAGAGTAAATACACAATTAGATTTTAATATAAGCAAATATAGTATTTTAATTTATACAGTACTGCACATGAAGATGTATAGGAAGATATAAGAGACTAAAGGAAAAGTAAACTGGGAAAAAATCCAAAATTTCACAGAGGAAAATATAGGCTGATTTTAGCACAAACAATCATCAAAAGAGGGAGGACCATATTGCCTTAAACAACAAGGAGGACATATGTCGACAAATTTCAACATCAGGCAAGAAAGGGTAAGGAAAGATATTAATCAAATGTCAACAAGTAGCACAAGATAACAAGAAAAGGAAATGAGGAATTTATTTAAGAGGATCCAAAGAAATTATCACAAAATTTACAGTTAATGTTGGGCCATTCAAGAATAGTGAAAAAAGAGATTTCATAGATTTCACTTCAAAACAAAGCAATATAGAAATATTTTAAATAAATAAATATCAACATCTTTTATAAGTAATATTATAGATTGACAGGAATATCTGTACAAACAGAATACATTCAGGAATCAATTCTATAAGAGAATGAGGCACAACAGGAACAGGTCTGCTAATAAGAAAGTACCAGGTGTAGATGAAATATCTATTGAACTGTTTAAAGCTAAAGAAGAAACAGTTGAAGTCCAAAGAAAATCATGTCAACAAATATGGAACAATATAATGTGCAAACTGGAAAACAGCAGCAGTAGAAATAAATTACTGAGCAAATTTTCACCATGTTTTGCTTACAATTTCACCATTAAAATACATGGAGAGAGAAGATCTTATGGAGATAATGCCAGAATGCAGAATATGTTAATAGTTAAATATTTAAATAGAGAAATAATTATTTTATGTCACTTTTCGTAATATAACTCTGTGCAGTGAACAATAAAACTGCCCACATAATACAGATGATACAGGTGGAAACTCCAAAGTTTTTTTTTTTTTTTAAAAAAACCCTTCTTAGCCAAAAACAAAAAGAGACCCACCACGCATACAGCCCAAGGGCAGGGGGAAGCTTTAAACACAGGCAAGTTGGGAGGTCAAATGCATCTTGAGATGGTGAAGTGATTCCAAACAACAGGTGCTGTCACAGACAAGGCATGCTTCCTAGATCCCACCAGATGGCACTGCTTAATAAGGGGGAATCTGGAGGATTTCCACTTCGCCCAATCATACCAGTTTTTCTTTCAGAAGAATAACAGAAGAATTAACAGAAATAATAATCAAAATCTATCCTGTAAAAATAGGACAATTGTATTATATTGCTTATTAAAAGTACTATGGATTGTAATCAACCAATCCTGGATCAAATAAAGGCTGAATCAAATAAAGGCAAAAACTACAGAACATTGGACATGTGAGGCAAGGGAATGATGAATTTAAAAAGTTTTTATGCTTGACAGATTGAAAGAAGAAAACAGGCTAGATTGATGGACAAGATCAAACAAGCTACAGGAATGTCTTTGGGAAAGTTACAAGTTATTATTGCAGATAGGGCAGGATGGTTCATGCAGTCACTCAGAATTAAAACCAACTTGATTACGCCTAAAAAGTAACTATATCGCACAAAGAAACAAAACAAGAATCAGCTTTGGGGCTAAACCTTATAAGTGCCTGGAGTTGATAAGAGTGTAATTTTTAAAAAAATAAATAATGAACTACTCATAAAATCTTGATTTAAATTTCATGAAGAAAAATGGATTAGGATTAGGTTAGGGTAAGCAGTTGCATAAGAAAATTTTTTATCCCCACATCTCACTTCTTTGTGCAAAATGGCTTTTACCTAAAATAGTCCTTCCTTTTAAATGGTAGCTGTCAGTACTTCATTAAACACCTATAAATTAACATGTGGTTCATTCCTTTTTCAGAACAGTATAGAAAAATAGACACTAACAATAGTAACTACTATAATTTCATCTGCCAGGGAAACATCTCCTTTTCCCCAAAAGATCAGCGACAAAAGAACAGGCAATCTACCGGTATTCCCATTCTCCAATTCACTACTTACTAAGTATGAAAAGTTAATTGGGATGAAACATTTTGGAGCTATCATTGTAAATAGCTTTGGTAAATAGTACGTGGTAAGTAAGAAATATTAACCTGATTTCAGCAGGCATCTAAAAAAGCACATAGCATCTGATTCTCTAAAGGTTACTAAACTAAATCTTAGCACCCAGCCAGTATGGCCAATAATAAGAAATATTGGAAAATTTAATTCAGCAACAACAGCCACATAAGCATGGGTAGAAGAGAAAAAAGAAATGATTGGTTGATTAAACAAATGGGAAAACTACACTAATATTTGGTTTGGATCACATCCATGTGAATCTATTCCTGAAAACGAAAATCTATGCACAAGCATAATTGTACAAACAGTGTACAATTTTCTCCTTTTATTCCTTTTTTTGTTTTGGCTCTGTGCAGGGGAGGGCAAAGTATTTTCTTCAGATTAAACAGAAACCAAACAAAGTTAAATCAGCTTCATGGGCATGGGCAGCTTCATTGGCTTCCATTCTCTTAAAAGTGAGTTTACATACCTCTGTGTTCTTCTAGGAACAATTGCAATATGATGATTTGTAGGGGAATAAAGACATGGCATAACAACAGGACACGGAGCAATATAGACAAATAACTTCATTTTGTTACTTGATAATATCTAATCCCCGTTTAGCACAAGGACAAAGTCCAATCACCTTGGGTGGCTTGAAGGTATTTCGGGGAGGAGGCAGCTTCCAATTAGATGGGATCCTCCACAAAGGCTTCACTTTAATGTCCTCATAGGGATTCTCTTTAGCAGGATCTAGAAAAAACAATTATTTTGAAGCAGAGCATGGATAGACAAACCAACCATATACATTTGCAATTACTATTTTTTCATAGGCACAAACTGGCATCAAGACAACCATTTGTCTGAAATGGTATAGGGTTTCCTGCCTGAGCAGGGGGTTGGACTAGAAGACCTCCAAGGTCCTTTCCAACTTTATTATTATTATTATTATTATTATTATTATTATTATTATTATTATTATCATCATCATCATCATCATCATCATCATCATCAATCACCCAGCTAGTGACAGAGGAATCAAAGCAAATCCCCAAATGACTGTCTTTAATTCCTAGCTTTCCAATGCAGGAATTGTGTGTATTTATCAGATTTCCATGAATATATCAGCACAGGAAATCAGAATATGTATGCTGGAATTCTCTAGAACTGAACCATAGCAGTTACTTTTCTTTTTGAAGGCTGGTTCTTGTTTCTTTTAAATAGATCTGGAATCTTACCAATAATATCCTCATAGAGGTTGTCCTCTGACTGCGTGCAATAGAGACAGACACGTGTGGTGCCATTTAGCTCTTCATGAAGCTTTTGATACTCGATGGCTGCTAGTCTGTTTCGATAACTTTGGATGTCCTCAAACTCAAAGGACTTTCTATAAATAAGAATAGGATATGTTATCACACATCTTAGGTGCAAAACCAAGCGCAGCTATTCATCTCCTAGCTTTTTTTAAAGCATGCTACCTAGGAATGGATGAATTTTAAAAGTATACTTTTCAATATTTTTAGCATAAAATTGTTCTTGGAATGTTTTAAAAAATAAAATTATGTGCACAATTTTAGAAAATCTGTCTTTCTCAATCTTCCACCAGCAATGTAGAATGGAAGAGGCAAGGGAGCCATCAAAGATAATTTGACTTGATACTAAAGCACAGTTTATTTTAATCAAGCCACACCTCAAAGTGCCTCAGTTAAGCAATATAAACCATGAAATATAGTTTGCAAACCACAAAAATTAGATACAATACTTTAAAACACACCTAATTTTTATTTGGCTTTATATTTATTCTTCTAAAAAAGAAAAGAGATCTTAGGTACTACAGTAGCTCTCTTAAATCTGGTGTCCCCTGTATTTTGGTAGACAATCAAATAATAGTACCGCCAGCAATATTATAAGTGTGTTAGGTTTATGTTCCATGTCATTTTAGTGCAGCACTGAAACAGCAAAACTGAAATGATAGCACCGACCCCATAGTACCATTCCCTCTAAGACAACACATGAGGGAATCTGGAAATCAGAGTTTGTTGCCTATAAATAAATAATGAATAGGAGATATATTCTATGTATAACCACTGGTTATACTCAGCTACCTTATATCTCCATGAGTCTACAGGGTAATTTTCAACTGGTTGTTTTACAACAGTTCAGAGTTATAATGGTCTCGAAACCTGTGCTTTATGGCCTTTAAAATACTAACGGCTATTGTAAAATGGTGCCCCCCCCCATGCAGTGGAAGGATTCAAATATGTGAACAACCAGTTCTCTGTGTGGATACTGCTTCCAGAAGTCCATTCTGGGCCTGGGCAACAAAAAATTAGCCACCGGTTCTGCCGAAGTGGTGCGAACCAGCTGAATTCCACAACTGCCCCCATGATAACATGACTGCATTTTGCGTGCTTGGTAACTGAATTGCCATTATGACCGGTTGCAGCACCCTACAGCCACATGATTGCAATTTGTAACAAATTTTGCCAGTTTCTGGCAGGTTTTGTTGGATTCCGGCAAAAAATGCCCATTTAGAAGAGTGGGTTCATTTAACAAATGTGTCAACACTGCTAGCAACGGATGTTCTTGCTTTGACAACAGATGGAAATGCAGCCATTTTCTCTATTGCTTTTAGAATTAGTTGCTGCTGGGAGGGGGAATAAGGATGAGAGTCCAGCTAGTCATAACAATAATAACTTAATTGTGGAAAACCAAGGATGTTGGGCCCAGAGCTGATAGTGTTTTGGCGGGGTGGAGAGCTGGGGAAAAAGCCATCAGCTTCAAGCTAATTGGGGAATGTGATTTATGACTGTTTATTGGAGGAGGGAATTGCACTTTGTTACTTTGTATCCAGGGGAGGGGGAATTTAGTTTCTGGTTTCAACTATGTACTGCCAATACTTTGTTTCTCGAATAAAAGATTCTTTAAGGTAAACAATGCCTCAAAGTTCTTTTGAAGATTTCATCTGTTGGAACCATGACAGAATGTGATGTTCATTTAATGGCCATGTGATTGCCTGACGACCACTGCAAAAAATGTCAAAAATCTAGATCCAGTCATTTGTGTGCCTGGACTTATGACAAAATTTATTTATTTATTTATTTATTTATTTATTTATGAGACTTATATACCGCTTAAAATGATTTATAACCAGATTTCCAGTCCCAATTTGATTGTGAACTGAAGGCTATCTGTTTTTTATATTTAATTTAATTAATTTAACTTTACTTAGATTATGACAGATTAAGGTAAAGGAGAAGGAGGAGCACAGGGATGAGCCGAGAGTCATTCTTGCTGCAGCACTGTAACTGGCTGGTTTGTCTTTTTTTGCTGATTGATGACATGCAAAAAAGGAAAGAAAGGAAAGTCAAGAGAATCCGTTCAATCTCTTTGCCTATCATACACTGCATATGCATAACCAAGGCAGCATCATGGGCAACAGAGACAGGATAGAGACTGGCAATAGGGACAGAAAATATCATGTCAATATAATTTTCAACACACAGCACTAATTCAACAGTGAGGAATAGCTCTTAGTGCATGATGTGATCCACATCAGTGATAGTGTTCCTATCCTTTATTTCATATGATCAAAAATATGAAATATCTAATTTCTGCAAGATGTTGGTTATTCAAATCAAATTCCATACACACCATGCATATTACATTTTAAAATAAATTTATGCAGCAGCATAATCGACGTCATGTATTAATGCTGAATCTGCCATACAGTATGTAAATTTGTTTATCTTTCCAACACAGTCATATCAGGGATTGCCTAACCACTTTTAGCCTAATTTTATGACCACATAGCTTCCTCTTACATAGTAACAAATGTGATGTTTTTATTTTCACGGCTGAAATTCTATTTTAATGCAACATTTTAAATGCCAAAGATCAAAAAATAAAGGTACATCCTTTAAAGCAGGGCTTTTCAACCAGTGGTACGGGTACCACCTGTGGTACATTGGCACCTGGCAGGTGGTATGTGACCATCCTAGAAAAGTGGTAATGGGGGAGGGGAATGAGCTGAACCGGTGGCAGCACCGCACAAGCCTGAGTGAGAGATGACTGGAGCTGCAAGGCTGTCAGGGCTCAGCAGAAGCGCCAGGATCAGTGCTTCTTCGGGACTGTCAGGACTCAGTGGAAGCACCAGGATCAGCGCCAGGCTCCAGCTGGAGCTCAGCACTGATCATGGCGCTTCTGCTGAGTGCAGAAGAAGCGTCGATCAGCTGGAATGTTGCAGCATTTCCAGGGTCTTGTGATTTACATTAAGATGCTTGGCAACTGATTCATATTTATGATGGTCACAGTTTCCCAGGTGAAGTGACCAAAACCTGTTGCAACCACCCAACAGACGGGGGGAATAAAAACCAAACACCCCCCCACCCCACCCCCGCTGCCAAGCCTCAACAGAAATGCTTATAACAATGAAAACCTCAGACAGGAGGAAGAGCACCGCCAGGTGGGCAGGGAGGTGTCTTGCTCGGCTGTGCCCTGGGAGCACTTTTTTCAGTGCCATTGTAACTTCGAACAATCACTAAGCGAACTGTTGTAAGTCAAGGACTACCTGAACTTTATCACTTTTTTCCTTTTTTTTTTTGGTCATCATGTTTTTGACACCTTGCTAGGTGACTGGTAGTACTCGGATATTGCCATATCCTAAAAGTGGTACAATGGGTGAAAAGGTTGACAAGCCCTGCTTTAAAGCACTTGCAAGGATGCATTCTAGTACAGAGTTTTGCAACTACAGCTAAAAATTAATGTTTTCTTCATTCATGTACTCCACTCCAAACAATAAAATTATTTCATTAAATAGAAGCAATTTTCTAAATGGAAAAATGTTTGCATTTTCTCAATAATTTTTGCAAATTTCCTCATATGAAGAAAAATGACCCAAAGTGGATGATTTATTCATTGACTAATTCTGTGCATTATCAAGAGTGTTAATTCTTAGCTGTAGAATAATAATAATAGTCAGTGGGCAGTTTGCAAATTGTTAAAATCAAGTGAAAATACAAGGAACGCAAAACAAATAATCAAATATGGCAGAAAAAACAAACCCAGATGGGAACAAGGAAAAAGAAGAAAAATGGTGTCCATCGTCTTGCCAAAGTCCTGGACAAAGAGCCACTTCTTCAGGGCCCTTCAAAATACCAATTGGGGAGGGGCTCATTCCAGAAAGCAGGCACTGCAATAAAGAAAGCAAACTTCTGGGGTCCTGAAAGATGACATTGTTTAATCAATGGAACCCGCAGCATCCCAACCTTGCCAGATCAAACCAGTTGGACAGATACAATGGGATACAATGAGTGGTTCCTCAAGTAACCAGGCCGTTTGCCATGTAGCTCTTATAGGTAATGACCAGCACCTTCAATCACACCTGGAAGCAATTTGGCAACCAGTGCAGCTCATGAAGCAGAAATGTTACCTGAGCATACCAAGGCTGTCCACACTGCTGTACTCTGGGCCATCTGACGCTTCTCATTACTTCAAGGCAACCCCATATAGACCATCACATCCGGAGATTTTCTCCACAAATGAGTTACTACTCCAGAACATTGCAGCCTTAATAACTGCTTGTAACAAACAAATCAAATTAGATTCATCTCCAGATCCTACAGAAGAGGTCATGCTGCAACCCACCTCTTAGACCTGCCTCGGATTCCTCTGCTGCCTGTTCTGTGGTCAGACTCATAGGAAGCAGTTGCAGGATAGCTCCCATTACACAGCTGTTCCAATGGCTTCTTATTGCTGTGGTATTCGTTAGCGAAGTTTCCCTGGTCCTTCTCAGAATGGTAACGGAAAGTCCTCTGTGGCTTGGGCACTGGGTTGATGGCTGGCTGCCTTTCCTGACTTTCCACATCACAATATATTGTCTCCTGGTTCTTTGCTGGAGCTACGTTCAGCTCCTTCTCTGTTGAGCCACAGCTTTCCCGTTTTCTTTTTAAGTCCAATGCAACAGAAGCTTCTTGATCAAAAGGAAGGGTTTTTATCTGTTTCCATAGGTCCCGGGAGGTGTAGAAATTCCCAGGAGGCAGCCTCTCCCGTGGCCATTCTGTAGCATCTGCTGTTTCAGATAAAGTGTCACTAGAAAGCTGCTCCACTAAATGGTTTCTGGAAATCTCTTGGAAGCGGTGTTCCTCCTCCTCCTCTTCCTCCTCAGTCACAGAGCCGAGATTAGAGTTTTCCCAGAAATCTAAACCTAAATGCTGAACATTTACTAATCCTTCTATACTCTTGTGAGGTGCAGGTGCTGATGGCTTTTCCTTGCTGTCAAGGCCATATTTGACCCCAAAATCCTTCAGTTTCTGCCTTTCTTCTTGGCAGATCCCCTTTGTCCGACCCTCCCACTGAGAAATCTTTTGCTTTATATTCCGGCAGTGGCTACGGGACAGTGTTTGCACAGCCGTACGGGAAAAACTGGTATCTACACTCCCTGTGGGGTGCATGGCAGGCAAACTAAACTCACAAGAGTCCCATCACAGCATGCTACTTTTGGATCTATATTAGAGATTAGAGAATTTGCAAAACTCAAAGTCCTTTTCGTTAATTATATCCAGTTTGTGGAATGATCCAACTTTTGCAGAAAGAAAATATCCTGATGTTATACTGTAGAAAAAGAGACAAAGAACATTTATTAAAAGGATTAGAAGGCCCAATTAGATAATGTCACAATAACTCAATTATTTTCCATAAGACTCACTTATTAAAAACAAACTAAAAATTATTCTGATCTTCTCTCCTTATACTACAGAGCAACAGACAGACTTGCAGCTTATTCTCTTATAAAAAAATTGTGATCTTCTCATTACTCTCAGTGAGAGCTAGCTTGGTGTAGTGGTTAGAGCCTCAGGCCAGAAACCAGGAGATCATGAGTTCTAGTCCAACCTTAGGCACAAAGCCAGCTGACTGACCTTGGGCGAATGATATTCTTAACGTGTTCTATGTTCTATATTTGTGATACTATTAAAACAATGCTAAAAGAAAAAGAAGCCCAATGCCATCATGTCTGTGTGAGAATTGGCTTTATATCAACCTACACCCTCACTCCAGAAATTTAGCACCTGGATGAAGTCAAGAATACAGATAAGAAAATGTGATCTAGAGAAAAGAGCTCAGCCACAAATGCAGCAAATCTGAGAACAAAGGTACAACCTCAGCCACTGCTACCCATAGTGTCTTGGATATTCAAATAGCATGGCAGAAAGTTTACCCGGTTAAAATCAAAATGCTTCAATAGCACAAGTCATACGATTGGAAGCTCATACCTATTAGATTTGAAGCTGAGAGAGACCTGCATTAATCTCAATATCATCCCAAACAAAGTCCTTTTTCGTTGTGATGTCTAGCTCTTGCAAATCTGGGCTCTTCCCAGTACCAAATATTTCCAAACTAATTTATGGCCTCGAGGTATGGCTCTGAATTAAAAATAAGATGAGTATGATGGAAAGGCTTTAGTGCTTTACTGTGCAATTTGTCCCACCTATGCTGATCAGCTGTTAGTCTGGCTCTCTTTGAATTCACCCACACAAAACATTTGTGCAAAGTGAGGAGTGAGACTGACAGATGGCTAAATGCATCAGTCTACCTATCTGTCAAAACTTGCCTCTTGCCCTACTCCAGCTCTATGTTACACGAAGGAAAATGATTGATGGATGCTCTTCTACCAGTCAGTAATGCTTTGCAGGAAGGAAATGAAACAAAATCAGGGAAATGCCTTTCCTTAAAATGCCCTGCACCATTCAAATGAAGACATCACCATTTGATGGCAGAGAAGTGGAACAGGAATTTGCAGTAAAGGTAGCAGATGTTATGCTTATATTGTTTTCTGCTACATCAAAGTCTGTTTGATAATCTTTTATGCAGTGGGAGCACAAAACCTGTGTAAGATATTGGCACAATAAGTGCAGTCACATAGTACCCTTGTATTCTGACATATTCCCAAGCATCATTTTGGAGCTAAATCTGAAGCACTGTTCTAGAATTTATCCATTTTCTGGTTTGCTACATGAGCTCACTAGCAACTGACAAAAGTCACTGCCACACCTCCTTCTACCTGCTGAGATCCCAAACTGCTATAACTGAAGAGAGAAATGCAGGAGCATTGTACCAAAATTTAGAAAACCCTTCACTCTTGGAGTTTTCAGAAAATAAGATTGCCACCATTTTCTTTGATAAAGTCCAGCTCTGTGACAGCTTCATCCTAAATTACACTTATTTTTTTCCTTTTAAGAAAAAAAGGATTATTTTAATCCCTGCAAATCTTAACATACTTACTTTGTTCCTTGATTCTCCCTCCAAATAGATAAAAGTGCCCTAGTTATTTTGACTCTTGGTCATAAATACTCTGCAGTCTTTAGAGGACCAAAAATGATGCTGAAAAAACTTGTGAACAACAGATATAGATGGATACTGAGATAAGATTTCCAAATGGAAAAATTCTGTATGGATAGCGTGATTAATCCAACCCTTATCTAACCAACAGAGTCCTCAGTGATAGAAAATACTGTCAAATTAGTAAATAATTCCTTGACCTCTAGCTCCTAAAGAAACCCTAGGCCTGCCCCAAATATCACTGACATAATCCACAGAGATCCCACACAATTTCACAGTGCTCATCCTGGCACCATAAGGCAGTTCTCATTCTTTGAGAAAGTTCTGTTCCTTGAACAGTTCAGACTCTCTTCTCTAGCAACACACAGAATTAAGTATAATTAAACCTGTCTGGAAACAACATCAATAGGCATCTAAGGAATCACCCTGTTCTATATTCCTTTTGTCAATATTCCTCCTGCTGGATATAGAGCAGCAACAAGGCCATTCTTCAGAGTAAGAGACTGGCATTAAGAGCTAATGATTTTCAAAAGATCCATCTAAATTTTGGAAACCAAAGAACAATACAGTAGTGCAACATCCAGGGGTAGAAATCACCTTACAAAATGCAAAAACAAAACAAAACAAAACCCTAACTAACAATGCAGGATTCTCATACAAAGAGGAAAAGAAATTAGTGTTGCCACTATATCTTTATGGTGATTCCGTTCCCCTATGGTTCCCTGTCATATCTTTTTTCAAAACCAGACTCTAACTCCTGCTTCAACTCCTTTGCTAATCCTTGGAATCTTTTTGAAATTTTCCTGATCTACCTTCATATGATTGTTACATCTGCTAAGAGACTGATTCCGCTCATTCAGTTATCTGAATTATGGTTTAATCAGCTCTATGTCTGGGCTAGTACACATACTGAACTACATATTAATCACACAAATATTGCTCATAAAATACACTAGACTAAATATATGGCTCTGTTTATTGTAAAATCCATTCATTCTGGCCGCTTCAATAGTGTATTGTGTAAAACCAGGCAATTGGGTTAATTCAATACCCTATAGATTAAGATGCGGTAGGAACGGATCATGAAATAACCTCATGAGATGGAAGAAGGCGATGGCAAACCATTTCTGAAAAACCTTGCCAAGAAAACTGCAGGGACTTGTCCAGGTGGTCTCTGAGAATCTTCCAGTTAATAATGGAATGGATTTAAAAAAAAAAAACATGAGCAGGGACACTTACAAAATCATGGAAGGGCGAACCTTTTGAACACTGGTATTAAAAAGAGAACTATTGTAAAATCTTCTACTTTGGAAAAATTTAAACTACTGCATTTTTTTTTTATACGAGGTAATAGCAGCATCCAAATCTAAGACAGCTCTAACAAAACTAAAGCTTTAATATACACTTGATAAGATAGAAAGGAGAAACGGCGAAGGAGAAACAGCACGGGGCTGGAAGTCAGGTAAGGAAAGAAAGGCAATTTCTGGGAGAAGCGAGGATTTATTTCCTTACCTGCCCACTTGTTCCGAGGCTGCTTTCCGCTGAGCCACGTTGCTCTTGCCAATGGCCCAACCACCCACTTCAGCACCCTCCCTCCCCAAGCCTCCGGTGCTCCACCTGCTACTTTGGTGGCTCTGTACACCTACAGAGCCACCAAAGCTGTAGCTCAGGGGCCCTCAAATTACGGCCCGATTTGTCTTTTTATCTGACCTGCCTCAACCTCCTGGGCAAGCCATCCAATCAGGTGAAGAGTGTAGGTGGATGATGGCGAGAGCTCCAGCCAATGGCGGGATGGCGAGTTGGTGGGAGAAGATGTTTTTTTCCCAGTTTCTCCCTCGCGCGCCCAAGGGCGTGCTCGTGCCCCTTTCTCTTCTCCTCTCGCCTATTCATCTTTTTACCTCAGGGCCAGGCTGACAGGATTAGGCCTACTTGCAACCTCAGCTTCGCTTAGGGCAGTCAAGCCTGGTGATGACGATGCCACTGCTGCTGCTGCTTCTGAGGCAGGTCCTTCACTAGGCACTATGGAACGTGAGCCCCAGCCTCCGCCACTGCTGCCGCTGCTGCCATGCCAGCCAAAAGGAAACTAGTGCCTCCCCTCAACATCATCCCCACCATCACCGAGGGACCCAGCCCCACCAGCAGTTGGAGTGGGGCTTCTGGAGTGGGGGGCCGGTTATGGGTCTGAGGGGAGCAGGCGAAGGGTGAGGTATTTGTGAGGGGCAGCCGGGGTGAGCGAGAAAAAAAGAGGAGAATTTGCTGCTGCAAGGTTATTTCAGGGTTGTGAGAGATTGTGTGGAGCTGCGGTGATGAAAGGTCAGGGGAGCCACTGGGAGGGAGGATGTGGTCAGCCTTTGGAGGATCATCCCAATCCACGAATGGGAATGGTGGTGCCACGTCCAGGTGAAGCTCCGAGAGGTAGGCAAAGCTGGAGGTAGTGGAGCAACTCAGAGGAACTGGGAGTGCCAGTGCTGGTGGTTGAGAGAAACTTCATTGGCCTTTAGGATCCAGGAAATGGTGGTGGAAGGATGGGGGCATTGGGATGTGCCCCATGGGAAAGAGGAATGAGGTCCTGCCAGGTAGGTTCTTCTGCCCTGAGATGGTCCGGAATGCCAATCAAGGAGAATATTTCTGGCTCAGAGTTAAAATGAAGGATCCTTGGGGGGGGGGGTATCTCTGAGGATGGTGGTTTTCTTGCAAACATTTCAGGACCCTAAGTGGGATAATAAGTGAACTAATGATGTTACCTAGTTTGGGTCATGAGACATCTACAAGAAAGCCACAAAGCTCAGAGAGGACCAAGGAACCCACAACCACCGTCCTCCTCCTCTTCTTTTCTTCTCCTCCACTCCACAAGCCCCATTCTCTTCTGGCACTGCTGATGTTACAGTTATAGTTTGGGTCATGAGATGTCTGCAAGAACTGCTGAATGGAAATGGCCCCCTGCTTTGCCTCACCTTATCCAGCAGGACGAGCCTCCTGCCCACCGTCCCACCAGCCAGAGTCCCCCTGGATCTCCCCCAACCATGCCCGGCCCCCACAGGTGTCCCTCCCCACAAGCAACATTGAGGTGGCCATGCCCACCCCAGCCACGCCCACCCAGTCTGCCATGACCACTGCAGCCATGACCACTGCAGCCATGCCCACCGGCACCCGACGATAAATAACAGGTTGGAGTTGCAGTTTGGGCGCTCGGTCTCTAAAAGGTTCGCCATCACTAGTATAGATGGTACCTTGCTCAATAGTAGTAACTGTGAGAGGGATCTTGGAGTCCTAGTGGACAATCACTTAAATATGAGCCAGCAATGTGCTATAACTGCCAAAAAAGCCAATACAGTGCTAGGCTGCATTCACAGAGGGATAACATCAAGATCACGTGAAGTGTTAATACACATTACAATGCCTTGGTAAGGCCACACTTGGAATACTGCACCAGTTTTGATCGCCACAATGTAAAAATGATGTTGAGACTCTAGAAAGAGTACAGAGAAGAGCAACAAAGATGATTAGGGGACTGGAGGCTAAAGCCAATTGTCTGAAATGGTATAGGGTTTCTTGCCTGAGCAGGGGCTTGGACTAGATGACCTCCAAGGTCCCTTCCAACATTATCAGAATCATCATCATCAACTTGGTAAAATGCAAAAGTTCGACTTTTGGTTCTCATCACCTTTCAATGATCCCTTCTACATTTACTCCTGACCAAATGACATTCTTTGAACATTCGGTATAGGCAATATTAGCCCAAATCAGTCTAATGGCATGTCTTGTTTTTAAAGGAAGACCAAATCTACTATTTTCACTACAACAGGGTAGTAGTAACTCTGCCCTAAATATTCACTGCCTCCCAAACAGCTATTTCTTTATTTTTCAAAGCAAAATTCTAAATGTCTTTAGTATGTTGCTCTTGAAATCTGATAAAAGTTTTCAAATATGATCATATCCTAATCTATCTCAGGAGAAATACTGGCTATTCTTGTTCAAGGCACAACCCTTCATGAGCCTCCACACCCAATGGAAAGAATAGAATAATAGTATTTCAACTTGCACAGGCTTGCAAACCAGGTAACTGTGTCTGTCATCAAAATAAGTAACTTTTGCCCTGATAAGGTCTACTCTCTTGTTCTGGTAAGGCACCTAGTGGACAGGAAATCTGCCAGTCTTCAATGGAGAGTTGTGGCTATTACTAGCAAGCTGTGTCTATCCAAAACACTGATAGAAAAACCCAAGGGAATGACAGTTATATAGAACCATGTTTAATTTTATCAGAAACAGAATCAAAAGCCATCCTCCTATATGCCTTTAACCTAGATGCTGTAACTGGAATCTGAATTAAAATGTTACAGGATACCAGCTGAACATGGCTACATACAGACTGCCAGAAGGTCTGCTTCCCTGGCAGCATTTAAGTCAGGGGTCTTCAAACTTGGCCCTTTCATGACTTGTGGACTTCAACTCCCAGAATTCCTCAGCAAGTCATAAAAGGGTCAAGTTTGAAGACCCCTGATTTAAGTTCTCCAATTAGAGAGACAGAAGGTCTAACTGAAGCCACCCTCAACAGAACTGACTTAACCATTACAAATAGAAACAGTCTTATGAAAGTTTTAAGGAAACCTTTAACATTCAGTGACCTTATAAAGTAGGATGAGCAATCCACAAACGTCACAAACCTAAGTATGACTGCCTCAAAACAAGCAGGGCAAAAGTGGTTTTAATCGGGTTTTGTAAGTGGAAAAAAGTTTGAAGGGGCAAAACAAGCACTCATTTCCTTCCTTAATCTGTCAAAATCATTTTTCTTTAAAGCTTTTCAAGCAACATGAAAACTTCCAAAAACAGACAAAATAGTTTGATTTTATTTGATTCCCAGTGATAGTACTATGACCTACACCACGGGTGTCAAACTCGCGACGTCACGTGACGTGCCGCAACATATTGTGACTTTTTTCCCATTGCCGGCAATGGGGTGGGCACAGTTTTGGCATGAGGCATCTGGCCCACAGGCTGGCAGTTTGACATCCCTGACCTACACTTTCCAATGCTCCTTAGAACTCATAGAACAGGGGTGTCAAACTCAATTTCATTGAGGGCCGCATCAGCATTACGGTTATCCTTGGGGGGGGGGTGTGGCCAGGGTGGGTGCAGCCTCCTGGGTGGGCATGGCCAGCTCTACATCATTCGTGTCAAGGATGCCTGTGGGAGCCTGGGTAGGAGTGGAGCAGATCTGAGGGTCTCTGGCGAAGGGGGTGGGACCGGAGCAAGTGCCAAGGCATGGTCTATTTCTTCATTCCTCACAAAGGGTGACACCTCCTCAGCATGCACCCGGGGGCGGAGCCAATGCAGCAGGGGCTGGTTCCTCGCTGTTTCTAGATGGCCTTGTGGAGCTAAGGCTGAATGCGTTTCAGCATAGATGGCCACCACAAAATTGTACATTGGCTCCCGGCCGGCCTGGGCCAGGGCCAAGGCAGCGGGGGCCGTTCCTTCACTGTTTCCAGGATGGCTTTGTAGGTCACATGAAACCACTTCGCGGGCCACATCCGGCCCCCGGCCTTGTATTTGACATGTCTGTCATAGAACATACTGGGTGAGTTACCCCCACAGTGAGTTACCAAATAGCAGCTTAGTTTGCTAAAATAAAAAGTAAAAAGTCAGAGGTATGATCCTTTAGAAGGGATTGACAATTTCTTTGCAGTCAGGATCAGTACTATTTGGTTTGTAAATACTTTTGGTCTCTATATTAGATACAGAACCAGAATTTAACCCCTGGTTCTGTATCTAATATAGAGACCAAAAGTATTTACAAACCAAATAGTACTGATCCTGACTGCAAAGAAATTGTCAATCCCTTCTAAAGGATCATACCACTGACTTTTTACTTTTTATTTTAGCAAACTAAGCTGCTATTTGGTTCATCACATCTGAAAACAAAAACACTATCAACAGTCATCTCATTCCTAGAGAATGCAGGGAATCTTTCTCATTATATATATCCCATGGAGAAAAACAGTGGAAAAAAGACAATTCTTCCACTGTCGTTAATTGATAGTGTCTGAAAAGAGCAAAATGAAAGAAATGAAGACAGATATTGAACCTTCCTTTGGTTACCAGTAAGTAGCATTTTTGCAAGAACAGCTAGATCATAATTAAATTTCAGACTTTAGAAATAATTGAATGTATTATACCTATTTACAATTTTTAAATTTGGCTTGGCTCCCGGGAGCTAATTTCATTTTTAAAAAGTAATCAATAGTTGCTACTAAAGAATACATGTAGTCCTCAACCTACAACCATAATTCAACCCAAAATTTATGTTGCTGAGTGAAACATTTAAGTGAATTTTGCCCCATTTTTCGACCTTCCTTGCTGCACTTGTTAAGAAATCACTGTAGTTGTAAAATTAGTAACATGGTTGTTAAGTGAATCTACTTTTTTCCCCATTGACTTTGCTTGTCAGAAGGTCACAAAAGGTGATCGTGTAACATTACAACCGTCATAAATATGAGCCAGTTGCCAAGCATTTTAATTTTGTCATGTGACCATGGGGACGCTGCAATGCTCCTAAGTGTGAAAAACTGTCGTAAGTCACTTTTTTCACTGCTTTTGTAATTTTGAACAGTCACTACATGAACTGTTGTAAGTCGAGGACTACCTGTAATATACTAAACATTTGCTAACTGAACTCATCTACAATAGTTTACATGAATTCATATAATACACTAAACTAGGCATGTCAAACTCACGACATCACATGACGTCGTGTGACATATCACAACTTTTCCCCCATTGCCGACAATGAGGTGGGCACAGTTTCATCGTGATGCATCCGGCCCATGGGCCGGCAATTTGACATGCCTGCACTAAACAGTAAACTAACTGCAATTGTTGCAATTGCTCAACACAGAGCACAAGTGAGCCAGTCACATTTGTCCCTAACACATTATTATGCACACAGACTCCAAGTCACATTATCTGGTGATTAAAATTGTCTCAACCACATTAATTATAAACTTTCTCACCTGTTCTTGCTGTGCTCCCACAACATGCTTAATTAAGCTTTGTTTAACTATGGCTTACCAAATAAAAAAAATATCTGGCTGGTTTCTCCCACACATTAACCAATAAATCATATTCACATAACATATTATAACTTTATTTCTTTGCATGGTGTGTGAGCCTAGCCTCTCCCTTTTTACTTCCCTCTGAAATTTTTTTGAAAAGATCATTGACTTCCAGTCTTGAGATATCTAAGTACAGTGTTTCTCAACTTTGGCAACATGAAGGTGTGTGCATTTCAACTCCCAGAATTCCAAGGAAAGCTGGCTGGGGAATTCTGGGAGTTGAAGTTCACATATCTTCAAGCTGCCAAAGTTGAGAAACACTGTCTAAACACATTAAGCAGAAGCACACATTTATTCTATGGTGGTGCATCCTATCTTTGAAATTTGGTTGGCTATTGGGCATCAGTAATAAGAAAAAAGACATATTTTAAAAAATAAAACAAATCCAGGACACTGTTCCAGAGATGGATTTCTATTTTTCTTTAACGTTCCCTTTGCAGCATTGTCAGGTTTAAAAAATAGAGCACCTTTCCTGATCGCTTTGCTGAAGAGAGGGCAGTTGGAAAGTGTTCATACCATGTAACAAGCATTTTTTCTAACCTCTTTCCAAAACACATTTTAAATGTTTTCCATTCCAAATTCTCAACAGGGATTAATTTAATTTCCTGAAGCCAGGAGTTGCAAAACTACAGGATTGCCAGATGATTGAATATCACTGCTCCCCTCATTGCTGAGGTCAAGCCCACCCAGGGAAAGTATTTTTGCCTGCATAAATTAGGGCTGTTGCAATACAAAGGTATCAACCATCACAGTACAAATTGTTTCGTGGGATTTGACTGTATCTGAAGAAGCCTGCTGAGTTACCGTAATTGATTGATTGCCTGTGAGCACCTGAGATTCCTAAGTCACTTTTGATAT